GGTCACGTGGGATGGGGGGAAACACAAGTTAACTATTTTAGAAAAACACACAACTATATAAACTATATAGAGAACACTAGAAAATGCACTGCATGCATGCATGACTTCAGAACACATAATATGAAAAGTTTTGTTCCATAAATCGAGCAATCAAGATTTTGGTAAATAGATTTTCTATTTGAAATAAGATTTTTTTTTTATTGATTTATGCATTATAAGCATTAGAAGTCCTAATTATAACCGGACCCTGATTCTCTTTTTTTTTTTTTCATTTTTTATTATCAATTTTTATTACCAATTTGAAAGAAATAAAATCATCAGCTATGACCCAATACAAAAAATAAATACATACTTATCCCTATATCATATGCTCTGATATCTAGTGCACACGTAGAGAACGAGGTATTGCACTCCTGTTCCCTGCTAAACATTTATCATTTAGGGTAACGGCTAAAAAATATACAACTGGTTCACCTGTTGTTAGTATATTGTGACAGAGCGGAATGCTGTGGTGGGTGCCTTCGGCATGGTATTTCTGTTAAAGCACTATAAAGTCGGCATCAGATCCTCGCTATCACAAGGAAGCAAGTACACTAATATACCCTGTCTCTGTCACACATACACACATGCACGCTTACACAACAAACAAGGATGTACGTCCTTAAATGAACTTAGCTGTTAATAGGAAGTTAAACAAAACAACACCAAATCCAATTCAACTCTAGTGCACTACAGTGTTATCTTAAGTTCACTACAGTGTTAACTCAATTCTAATTGACAAAAGTATATATTTGTTTAAACTGAAATTGGTATCTTCATGATATAAAAATCGAAAAGTGAGAGAAATTCTTTTGATTGATGTTTCATAATATGTGGGGTCTCCCTCGGCACCCGTCCTCATATGACACTGTCTGTATCAGTGACGTTAAACCCCAAACAAAATATGCAATTGAACCCAGTCTGTTCAAAACCCTATCAGATAATCGTGGAAAGTTGTTGGCCTTTATTGACCTCGCACAAGACACAAATAATATACTCGTGTATCTGCTTATTTCAGCGATAGGATCAGCATTTTGAAATTTTAATTTCTGAAACAAACTTTACAAATCTTTTTACGCAACAGCACTAGACTGTCATGAAGTCTATTCTTGTACTCGGCATATTTGTAAGTATTGTGCAAATATCAACCGGATTGACCTATGCTATGAATACGTTAAAAAGCATGTGTTTGCTGCATTTTGAGGCGTTTTATAATGTGGAAACTATGTGTTTTACTAGTCAGAAATCTGGGGGAAACACTTCTTTAATAAGTTGCATTTTTCGAAAACCAAATGTCTGTTTAATGTAGTTTATTAAAATTATGTAGGTGTGTTGTGCATGATGAATCCAATATCCACTTTAACTTATATTTTCTTTGTCTTATAGATCTCTCTACATTTGAATATATTTGCAATATTGATTCGATAGCCGCGCCATTCATGTTATCATGTGATCTGCTTTTGCTGTGGTTAGAATGTGTGTAATACATATACATTAACGACTCAATTCAGATCTTCTTTGTAGACAAGAACCCTTTATAATATTTACATCTATATGTTAATTTATTGAAGGCCTTTGCTATGCCACATATCCCACCTATATGTGCACAAACACCGGTACATACACAGGTGTCTGGCTTAAACAAGTGTTTATGTAACAATGTCAGTACGGGAAACATGATAGGATTCCGTACGGCATAGCGAGTATAGGGTACACTAGTCAGCCGCACGCATGAGTGGCCACAAATGCTAATGAAATCAATACAGTGGTATGAGTAGGTGCTGCGTTGGACAACACCGTATACAGTTCGCAGTTTTGAGAGCAAAACCACCCAGACAGTGATCTCCCCTTGTTATCACTCTCTACAACAAGAAAGACAGAAAGAGGACAAGCCTTTCCTACCTAAACAGGTGCTGTCCCAGGTGTTGATCCTATGTGTACCCGGCTCAGTGATGGCACGTTCATCCGGCTCCCACACACTTTCCACCTCTACCTCCAACTCCTCTTCCTCCTCATCCTCTGGCTCCTCCTCCTGGCAAAGGGAGACAACTCTATCATATTATAGTTTGTGGTATTCAAGGATGCTCAATTGATTACAGATAAGTGCTAAATTTAATAAAAAAAATCTTATAAACCTTCTGTAGGTGTAATCAGTTGGGCACCAAATGTAATGGAAGAGGAAAAATTGATACACAGCCGGACTTGGATTCCAACCCAGAACCTACTGAACTCTAGATGAGCGCTCTTCCAATTGAGCTACCAGGTCACTGGCTATTGAACATGGAATATAAGCTCTTGGGAGCTATTATTGTGAAAGAAAAAGCAACCCAGTCCAGCCCTGCTCAGTACTCATAAAATTATTTGAGGCATATTTTCATTTGGCAGCAGAATATTACCATAGCACATTAAAATTTCATGTTACAGACTATTTTACAAATAGGTCAACTGCCAAATGTAGATGAATAAAATGAAAATTAGATTAAATATTTTTTCATGTTAAACTTCTTTTAACCAATAGCCTATGAGACCAAAACTACAACAAATAAAACAAATTTGATTAAGCACTTATTAGGTTACACTTATTTTTACCAATAGTCTAAAAGACCTAAACTCAATACATTGTATGTAAAACAGAGTTATGTCCCCTTACACTATTGCCTTCCTCGTCTTCTAGCTCCTCTGCTGGGTCGTATGTCTCAATCTTCCAGTGCTCCTCCTGTTTCCATGGGAACAAAATAGAAATATACATATTGGTTGTAAATAATAATTCTATATTTTATTAATAAAATCATTAAATAAAAAAATATTCGAGCATGAAATTTTTGTTTTTAACCCTTTCACCACTGAAGACCTTAATGGACTCATCCATATCAATGCATGGTAGAGCCTACTACAGTTTCAAAGGGGTGAAAGGGTTAACTCTGATCATTCACCTATAAAGTCACATCTGATCTCTTCCAGTTCAAAGGTTGAAATAGTTTAATTTGAAATTTCAGGGGTGAATGAGTTAATTTTCATAACTTATTAATAAAATAATGCAAATTCTTTTCTTAAGTCAAACTTGAGATTTACTCTTTTATTCCTTTGAACACCAAAACCCAATCAAACATAAAAAAAAGAAAATAAACGACAAAGATTATTTACTTAATAACAGGGGTAGACAATTCCACTAGCCCAACACCTGGGGCTAGTAGATTTGATGTGCATGGGTCTGCTGAAAATTTCAATACCCACTATGAAATTAATAATAGGCCAGGCTAGTAAAAGTTCTAAAAATCTGCCTGGAAGCCAGTATTCTAATCTAATCCTGAAATTGGACATTCCTGATTTATATATCTTCAAAGAATATGGATAATCTGTTTATCAGAGGTCACTTGAATTTCAAGCATCACTTCTTGAATATTCACGATTTTTACACTCACTGCACCCCTGGAACATGTCATGACAAAATTGAAGGCCCAGTGTGCACCACCTTGTAGATGAGACGAGAAAAATAGTTTGACCCTTTGATGTTCATCAAAAGAATCTCACAGCTGCACAACGGTAAAATCGACTGGCTTTCAAGTCGGTGTTGCTCCTCTGTAATCTTCAAGGGACAGGTATTCCGTCTTTGCGTATTGCAGAGTTATCTTATCTTGTGAGCAGGTATTGATTGTTACGTCATTGGTTTGTGAGAGTAACGTCATCAATTTTTGAGAAAACGACGTAATTTTCTCACACAAGCCAATGACGTAACAATCAATACCTGCTCCCAAGAGAAGATAACTCTGCAATATGCAAAGGCGGAATAAGCCTTATAGCGATTGGTCAGGTTTCTCCACCTGAGACCAGTCAAATAGCTTAGCAGTGCACTTTCAATGTTGTTATGACATATTCCAGGTGTGCACAGAGCGTAGGTGAGAATATAACCTAGCTCTGGATCAAAACGCTGAATCAACAAAGTATAGACAGATTTATTGCTCTATGCTAGATGACCGTGACCTACCTGTCCGAAGACACCAATCTTGTTGCCGCGGACGTCAAACACAGCCACGCTACAGTCGGACGATGCTGTGATGATGAGGCTGCGCTCGTTTCTCTCGCACATGTCAATAGAGTTTATCATGTCTGTATGTGCCTGGTACTGACATTTCATCGCTAAAAACAAACAACAAAACTTAAGCTTTAGGAGCTTAACAACAATCATGTACCATATGTGTTGAATCATGTCATGTAAAAAAAATGAAAATGAATAAAAAAAAATAATCTTTTTTTTCTTTTTTTTAATAATAATAATACAAATATCAAGAGTATAAAGGCATTCCTTTCAACAGTAATTAGAGAATGTGAAATTTGCAAATTGTGTATGAATATATCTGCAGTGGAATCATTAACAAAATAAACAATAAAGATATGGGAAAATACCCAACAAAATATTAACGTAACACACTCAAAAACAAAGTAAGAACTAGGGACGTAACGCTAAATCATGGACGATACATTGCGATATAATAATTATGATACGATACGCAATATTTTTGGGAGGTCATGATACACCTACAGACCCTGGACCGTTTTTCTTTACCAAAAGTGCGTTGCGTTTGTGTCACATTTCCGTCGCGTTGCGTTTGGGTTGCGTTTGCGTTGACCGTTTGTTGTGTGTTTTAACTTTAGCGTTGAATGTGCGTTTTGCTGGTTATGTAAGAAAACGATCGATGTGCAGGTTATTTGAAGAATATGTGAGTGCTGATTGTTTTTTATATAAAAAATAGTTATATGGATAATAAAGTTTGCAAATTAAAAACAAAATAAATATACAAATAAAATAGATAAATACGTGAAATAATCGGTCGGAAGTTTAGCAATGACTTATATTTATGTGCTGATTGATGGGTGCATGTCTATACACTTACCTGAATTGGCCAGTAAAATTTTTAGAAGAAAGTAATTGAGTAATTGGTTATTTGTATATTTTAAATATTTAATTTCCATTCTTATATCATTCTGTTCATATGAATACATGAATCAAATTACACTAAATCTACTAATACTTCCATCACCGATGGGCTGATGGTTTCGTAATGACACCAGGGTAGTCTGGATTGAAGATATATAATTAGTGCGTCTAAACGGCGAGTTTCATTTTATAAAATATTTGTAGTTTTATCTCTATGTGTATGGTTTTTCCTTAATTTTATTGTCTATATTGTGGGTTTTATTTACGTCCAGGTCAAATTATGTAAGTCCTGTCACGGAATTAGATTGTTATCAAAGTCTGTGGTCCTGTGCTCGACACGCAATATGTATTGGGGGTGCTGCCTGCGAGGTTCGAGAGGTACAAGGCCCCTGCCAACATTGACAATAAATTGACTTTGATTACGCCGTTGAAAATCATTGAGACCTAGCAATTTTACTAGTTGTGTATTCGGTATTTCTTTAAGCTGCATTAAGAAGACACATTATTATTAATTTTTAATATTTAATAAAATGGTGATGAGTATTCAAACAAGTATTTAAAATATTGAAAAGACTAATAAAGAACGTGTTTATGGTTAAATCATGAATGGCAAAAACCGCCACGTATGAAAATAAGCTGCTCGGCTCTCGCCAAGAGCGGCTTAAAAATATCAATAAATAATTAAATTGAATAAATAAAACAAATTAATTAATTAATTAATTCAAATGAAATAAAAAAAATGAAATTAAATAAATAAAACAAATTAATTAATAAATCAATAAAATGAAATAATTTTTTGGAATAAATTAAATGAACATAATAACTTAAATAAAATAACAAAATAAATGCAGGAGGGTATAGATGGTAAATTCAGGTTACAATTGTAGGTGATGTAGAAGGATGTAGGTCGTAAAGTAAGTATAGGTGATGTAGGAGGGTATAGGTGATATAGGATGTAAATGTTATGTACATATGCAGGAGGGTATAGGTGGTATAGGAAGTAAATGTTATGTACATATGTAGGAGGGTATAGGTGATATAGGAAGTAAATGCTATGTACATATGTAGGAGGGTATAGGTGATATAGGAAGTAAATGTTATGTACATATGCAGGAGGGTATAGGTGATTTAGGATGTAAATGTTATGTACATATGTAGGAGGGTATAGGTGGTATAGGAAGTATAGTTGATGTAGGGGGATATAGGTGGATATAGTTAATAAAGCTGATGTAGGAGGGTATAAGTGGTATAGGAAGTATATGGTGGTATAAGAAGTATAGATGACGTATGAGGGTATAGGTGGGTTAGGAAGTATAGGTGATGTAGGAAGGTATAGGTGGCATAGGAAGTTAAGGTGACATATGAAGGTATAGAAAGTAAAGGTGACGTATCAAGGTATAGAAAGTAAAGGTGACGTAGGAAGGTATAGAAAGTAAAGGTGATGTAGCAGAGTATAGTTGGTGTAAGAGGGTATAGATGATGTAGGAGGGTACATGTGGTGTAGGAGGGTATAGGTGGTATAGGTCGTATAGGTGATGTAGGAGGGTATAGGTGGTGTAGGACGTATAGGTGATGTAGGAGGGTATAAGTGGTATAGGAAGTATATGGTGGTATAAGAAGTATAGATGACATATGAGGGTATAGGTGGGTTAGGATGTATAGGTGATGTAGGAGGGTAGATGTGGCGTAAGAGGGTATAGATGATGTAGGAGGGTACATGTGGTATAATAACTAAAGGTGGTGTAGGAGGATATAGTTATTTAAGGTGATGTAGAAGGGTATAGTTATTTAAGGTGATGTAGAAGGGTATAGTTATTTAAGGTAATGTAGGAGGGTATAGGTGGTATAGGACGTATAGGTGATGTAGGGGGGTATAGGTGCTATAGGAAGTAAAGGTGAAGTAGAAGGGTTATGGTGGTATAGTAGGTAAAGGTGATGTAGAACGGTATAGGTTGTATAGGAAGTATGAGTGATGTAAGAGGGTATAGGCGTGTGAGAGGGTATAGATAATGTAGGATGGTATAGGTGGTATATGACGTATAGGTGATGTAGGAAGACATAGTTATTTAAGGTGATGTAGGAGGGTATAGGTGGTATAGGACGTATAGGTGATGTAAGAAGGTATATGTGGAATAGGAAGTAAATGTGATGTAGGAGGGCAAATGGGGTATAGGAAGTAAAGATGATGAAGGAGGGCAAAGAGGGTATAGAACGTGTATAGGTGATGTAGGCCTTGGCTGGAGTAGGACTTACGCAGACTTGACTGGAGTATGACTTACGGGGACTTGACTGGAGTAGGACTTACGGGGACTTGACTGCAGTATGACTTACGCAGACTTGACTGGAGTAGGACTTACACGGACTTGACTGGAGTAGGACTTACGCGGATTTGACTGGAGTAGGACTTACGCAGACTTGACTGGAGTATGTCTTACGCAGACTTGACTGGAGTATGACTTACGCGGACTTGACTGGAGTATGACTTACACGGACTTGACTGGAGTAGGACGTACGCAGACTTGACTGGAGTAGGACTTACACGGACGTGACTGGAGTAGGACTTACGGGGACTTGACTGGATTAGGACCTACGCAGCCTTGACTGGAGTAGGACTTACGTAGACTTGACTGGAGTAGGACTTACGCCGACTTGACTGGAGTAGGACTTACGCGGACTTGACTGGAGTAGGACCTACGCAGCCTTGACTGGACTAGGACTTACATGGACTTGACTGGACTAGGACTTACGCGGACTTGACTGGAGTAGGACTTACGCGGACTTGACTGGAGCAGGACTTACGCAGACTTGACTGGAGTATGACTTACACGGACTTGACTGGAGTAGGACTTCCGCGGACTTGACTGGAGTAGGACTTACACAGACTTGACTGGAGTAGGACTTACGCGGACTTGACTGGAGTAGGACTTACGCAGACTTGACTGGAGTATGACTTACGTGGACTTGACTGGAGTATGACTTACGCAGACTTGACTGGAGTAGGACTTACGCGGACTTGACTTGAGTATGACTTACGCGGACTTGACTTGAGTATGACTTACGCGGACTTGACTTGAGTATGACGTCAGTTTGGCTATGCATGCAGTACTCTGTGATCTCCCAGACCTTGATGAGTCCATCAGCATCACCCGTTACCAACCACTGGTTCAGTTTGTCCGTCGCCATGATTATGCTTCCTAAGCAACATGAAAAAAAGACATATTGTGATGAATTTCGTAACAAAACAACCTCCAAATATGTTGAAATATCTTTTAATTAACTTCAATCCCTTCTGAAGTAATTTATAAAATGCTCCTGGTTCGTTGAAAAATCTGAGGTGCATTTTTTAATTTTAGGTTCCTTTCTAAATTAGTTTTTATTTCTTTCGTATGAATGAAATGAAACTATATGTCATACTAAAATGAAGCATGATCTTTTCCCCCCTTTATCATGGTTGATTGATTTGTGTAGAAATTATTTTGGGGATATGGCATGTTGTTGGTCCCCAAAGAATGAATTTCACAGTCATATCATATAGCTCAACGGCATAATCAAAATCATCTTTAAAATATGCCAGTCACAAATACTTAATTTTTCCAGCTCAACACAAATATGTCTTGATACTGACTGTATAACATGAAGTATTCGTTGATTTTTCGTGGAGGCTACGAACCCACGAAAATAAATACAACAAATTTAATCGATAAACTTGACCACTCTTTATTTGTTTATATGGGGAATCTACGAAACGATCTAAATTGCTTCAGGCCACAAAAGAAAATACACAGGAACATTTCATGTTATACGCTAGCTGGAAAAAACCTATCAAGATCAGGTATCGAGCGAAATTATCAAACAATTTTTAAAATATTTTTCTTTGGTAAGAAGATAAAGGTCAATTAAGGTAATAGGATTGTGTCGCCATTTCTCAGTAGAATTTATTCAAATTTTGTAGTTATATTGCTTTGAAGTAAAGAAAATTTTCTGCCACAAAAAAAATATAGGTTGTCAGAATTTTAAGGATTTTAAATGGAAATTTATGTAAAAAGGATTGAATTTTGAAAAAAGACCTGAAACACATTTTTTTTTTTGCAAAATAATGTCAATAAAAATGATACTAACATAGATTAGTATTGCATTAATGTAAATGAATTTCATAAATGCTGAAATTGTGTAAAATTAATCATCTATAAACGATTAAAAATTGTATTTTATAATAAAACCATATACACATAGTAACTGCATGCAATGAGTTATCATTCTTGGAAAACTTCACAGTAGTGAAATAGGTAGTCAGTTTCCTGAAGTACAGAAAAATGGACACATGTGAAACATTGTTAAAAAAAAAACTGAATTAATGCCTGGATTCATTTGCAATACTTTAATATTGAAAAAACACACTGTTCTGTCAATAATAAGCATACAATATTCATCAGTTTAATATTAAACATTAGAATATGCGGAAATTGTGATACTGTCTCCCTACATTGGATTTTCAACTAGGGATGTACTTCCTACTTCCGTTTAGCAATACACTCCTATGACCTTAATTGTGGTCTGAGGTCATGTGCTTGAGCAGCCATTAATGTTTCATAAAAACCTTCGATCCAAGTTATTGAGTTTCCTGTTACATCTGTTGATATTGCACTTACAGTCTATATGAATGAAACAGATTTGCAGGCAAACAGAATGGTGCTGGGTACTGCACTGGCATTTGGATCATTTTAATTCCATAGGAAATTAACTCATTTACCCCTGATTTTTTTTGATTTTTTTTATATATATTTTTTTTTTTTTGAATTTTTTCAACAGTACATTAAACATAACACATCATATTTTAGTCTCACATTCTTAATTTTCGCACAAGTTTTTTGTTTGTCTTGACATTTTTTTAACATTCTTATATTATTACATCGATTTGGGTACCAATGTAGAAAAACAATTATTTTCTTTGTAAGTTTGAAACAAGATACATAGAATAATATTGTATGCATTGTAGTTGAGAAGCAAACAAATACAAAAAAAAGAAAAAAAAACAACAGTTTGGCTATTTTCACATGTTGAAACCAGGATATTAGGTGTTATGTACCATTGTATTGTTTTAGAAGAAGATTTAGGAAAGAAAAGAGTAATGAAAAGAGAGAGAGGGACAAGAAAGAAAAAGAAATTTCTTAATGAACTATTCCAACCTTTGAATTGGAGGAGTTCAAATGTGTCTTCAGGGGTGAATGAGTTAAAATATACCTCAATAAAATTCTGTTTAAGTGTATGCATCGTATATATGCATGTTTCGTCAATGAATAGAACAGCCATCGACCGCGGAGGGTCAGTGGTACCTAATGTTAAAAATGATGACGTCATCATGTATACCATGGCATAATACAGTCTATATGAATGTCATGTACATTTAGTAGGTTATGTTTGGGCAGCAACGCTAGTTGAGTGGTAAAAAGAACATTTCATTTTGTGTCCAAAAAAAAATCACACAATTCAAAAAGCTGTTTCAGTGTGACTTCAAGCTTTTTTCAGTCGGCTTACCATTTGTGTGCGCTTGAAACTCGGCAGCCAAAGAACTTGTCGAAGTGTTCCAGAACCGAACCATTCCGCTACCACCACAAGACATGAGGTTGGCGCTACCTCCCCCAGAATTCGTTTTTCTGCTTTCCAAGAAAATCAGTCGAGAAACAGCAAATCCAAACTCCTTCTGTAAAATTGGGGGGAAAAAAAAGGAAATTCTTTTGAAGATATCAAAGAAACATGAAGTGTTTAATTTGTTTTAAATGGTCGTGTCAAAATATGATACATTCCTGTTTCTATAAATAGATAAATTGACATTTTTTCATCATGCTTCTAACAGTTTTGTGAGGAAAAAAATTAAGTAAACTTTAAACGCAAACAATCATTTTACCTGCTCTTCCTTTGTTCCACCATTTGTTGTAGATTTTGGACGAGAGTTGGGGCGAGATCTTGGACGAGACTCGGCATCCGTCTCCGATACTCTTGCAACCTGGATTTAGTAAACAAATCTTTACAGACGTACATTCTATTATTAGCAACACAACAAAGTACTAGTAGAATTTTTTTTATAACCATCTGTTATAAACATTACCGATATTTTTATTTTTTTTATAAGAATCTGAATGCAAATGGGATCAGTGTCGTTTTAATGCTTCTCTTTGTACCAATGACATAATGTTAGACCATCATAAGAGGCAAACATTCAGGTGACATCTCGTTTAGACTCACATCACGATTTGTTGTAGACACGATGGACTTGGTGCGAGATTTAAGCATCTTCCGGCGAGACCGTTGACTGAGGTGGCGAGAGGCCTGCTCCGAGTTTGTATTCCACACGACAATCTCTCCATCGTACGATCCGGTTACCATGGTGTTAGGAGCCGTGAAGGCACAGCAGAGGATGTCCTCAGGGTGTTCCTAAGCAACAAATCAAATATCATCAATAAGATTCATCAGTTTGGAAATATGTAATATCAAAGTTTTACTATATGCACAAACAATGTAATGTATTCGTGTTGCAACATTCAAAGACCAACTGGTCCATATATTTGGTGAAGTTTACCTTGCAAGTGCAATGACCAATCAGGTTGTAATATGCAAATTAGATACATTTGCATATGTTAATTTTGCTTATTATCCAAATTAGCATTAATTTCCCGTACACTTATTTGTATCTGCTAAAAGAGGCTGATTAATAGCTGCATTTAAAGGAAATTATTGCAAGCAAGCAATTTTTTTAGCAGACAGGATTAACGAGATTGACAGAACGACAGACAGACAGATAGACCGAAGAATAGCATACCAAAGTAAGATCTGCAAAATACAGGCATATAGAATTTCAATTCTTTATTAAATTAATTACACTTTACTCAAATAGTGATCAAGCTTATTTTTAAACAGCAATTTTGTTCTTATGTAACAGGGAAAGAGTAGTGTGCTTCACCGGGAATCGAACCTGTGATCTCAGACTTCCTTATCGGATACTCTATTACCGAGCTAAAGGGAAAATCCCTCTATCGTAAAGCTAGAAGGTGCCTGTAATCCTATGTGCAATTAAAATCTGTCACACTATGACTTTCCCCTCCTTTTATATGTGTTTGCCCTCGAACACAACAACAGTTAACCCAGGTTCTAACTCCCTGTCACCACATGTACAGGGAAGGTCTTGGACACCATTTTTAATAGGAAAGAGAGTAGTGTGCTTCAAACGGGGATCAAACCCATGATCCCAGACCTCTTAGATGAACGCTCTACCACTGAGCTAAAGGGAAATTCCCTCTAGCTTGAAGCTAGAAGGCGACCGTAATCCTATGTACAATTGAAATCTGCAGCACTCCTAAATTTATTTTTGAAATAAAAAAAAACCTTGAATACTGACCTGTCCACCTTTCCACTCGGAGGGAGTGACCTGTGCAAACAAGGCACCAGTGTCTCGTAGGGCTGAGTCTCGGAATATCGTCACATATCTGGAACATAAACAACATTAAACATCACATGATCAAATCCAGGAAGCTGACTGGACAACTTTATGTGTTAAGTTGAAGGTGTTCTGTACCATAGATTCAGCTTAAATGAACATATTCTTGACTTTTAGATTCAAATTGTTGACTATAAGATTCAAATTGTTGACTATTAGATTCAAATTGTTGACTATAAGATTCAAATTGTTAACTATTAGATTCAAATCATTGACTATTAGATTCAAATCGTTGACTATTAGATTCAAATCATTGACTATTAGATTCAAATCGTTGACTATTAGATTCAAATCGTTGACTATTAGATTCAAATTGTTGACTATTAGATTCAAATCATTGACTATTAGATTCAAATCGTTGACTATTGGAATTGTACAGAGAGATTGTAGACATCACACGATCAATCTCCATTACAGAGTTAGACAATATACAAGATGACGCCATTACCGTTTTGGGCAGTTAGTTCAACAACAATAACTTAACTCATTCACCCCTAAAGACACATTAGAACTCTTCCAATTCAAAGGTTGGAATAGTTCATTATGAAATTTCAGGGGTGAATGAGTTAATTTAGAAATATCATTGATGAGTGGTTTTTTTACTCTTGGCCAGGAACAATTGATAAATTGATGAAGAATTGATGACATGTTTGAAAATACAGAAGAATCTATAATTAGACATTTGAAAGGTACACAAGCACTGATGACATGTTTGAAAAATTAGCAATAATTGATGATATATTTGAAAGGCACACAAGAACTGATTACTCATTTGACAGAAACACAAGAAATGATTACTCATTTGACAGAAACACAAGCACTGATTACTCATTTGACAGAAACACAAGAACTGATTACTCATTTGACAGAAACACATGTGTTAATACCAATCAGGTAAAATTTATTTGGAGATAAATTCTAACTAGTGTTGGGAATCAGATGAGATATTATAATCGATTATCGGAAGACTTGTCAAAACTTTGGTAAATACATTGTGTAATGTTTAGAAAAATACGAAACTACAGTATGCAATCATCTTTACCTAATAGCGAGAGAAGATATTTCCGCCTACACCCGACACTTCAAACAATATGCTGGGCGAAGAAAAATCTTCGGATACATTGCAGTTTTAAATAAATTTAGCATATTTAAGCAGTTTTCGATTAATAGATATTGTAATCGAGCACTTACTTTTTCACCAATATCGATCGACTTTCAACTTTTTTCAATTATTTGAACACCACTAATTCTAACAACACAAATTGCACGTACAGTATATATATTTTTACACCTGTCAGTTGTTATATACTTTCATGCTAATTAACATACCTGACCCAGCCCACCACCTGTCAGTTGTTACTTTCATGCTAATTAACATACCTGGCCCAGCCCACCACCTGTCAGTTGTTACTTTCATGCTAATTAACATACCTGGCCCATCCCACCACCTGTCAGTTGTTACTTTCATGCTAATTTACATACCTGGCCCAGCCCACCACGACGATGCTGCGTTTGAGGTTGAGCACCTGCCCCACGTCTGCTGGTTGTCCGCCTGCACACTCCAGCGAATGAGAATTGTGGCCATTGAAATCCCACATCTGTCAAAATGGGAGACATTTTAAATTCCTCTCCTTCAAAATCACTATCAAAATCACTATCAATATCACTATCAAAATCAGTATCAAAATCAATCAAAATCACTATCAAAATCACTCAAAATCACTATCAATATACATTGCTCGTTTTTTGTGTGTAAACTATATGACCGAAACAAATGACCTAATGACACAATAGAATTCAGTTACCATACTACGTTGTAATTATGTACCAAATCTTTTGAAGGGTTCATGAAATATCTCACATAAGCTTTTAACTACAGATACATGAACAAACAGACAGACAAACACACTAAAAAAGTTACTACATACATCAATAATTTGGGGGGGGGGTTAATAAGAAACGGTATGTTCTACAAAATAATTATTCAATCATTTAACAATATTTAGACATCATTCCTATGAAGAAACTGACAGACGGACACACACACATTGATGATGCAACTACATATATTGCATACCGGGGTAAGTAGGGGGTAATTAAAAAAAAAGTTTATTCTGCAAAAAAATAATTTGATAATTAAAAATAATTTTAAATCGCTACTAGCTGACCAAAGTTCTATTTGTTTAGGTAAAATGTCGGTATTTACCTTGACAGTTCCGTCTGTGCTACCTGTAAACAGCTTTGTGCCTGTTGGATCCTGAGACAGACATGTGACCTCTGCGTTGCCATGGGCACTGCTGAACTGTTTGACCTTTTGACCTGTGTCAATCATCCAGATGATGAGAGTTCCTGATTGGCAAACACTGACCACCTTAAAAAAAGAAATTAAAAAAAAAAATGACTCCAAAGTATTTCTTTTAGTCTTTTGTATGTTTGAGCGATTCTCCTTTTCATGAACAATGAAGAGTATTACGAATATATACGTTAGAACTAAATTCTTTTCAGAATTCTTTTTTCTAACTGTTTCATACAATCTATGGCACCATGCTGGTACTTGAGTTAAAGAACAAATATGATTTTTTTATAACTTCTATTTCAGCTTCCACTAACAACCATCAAAAACACAAAAATATAATTATATTAAGAGAAAGTGAGTGTACATATATTGTATATCATTTATTTTTTGTGAGCATCTTATTTTCACTTTATATAAGAAGATGAAATCACCAAAAAAACGTAATATGTAACTTTTGATCACAAAAAAACAACAACATTAACATGAAGATGAAAAAAATAAAATAAGAAAAAAAAAACTTTTTTTACTAAACTTAATAAAATCTGAATTATTCATAAATAACCTGTCTTGATAACATTTACATCAAAATATAGATACAAATACATTTATTTTCATATAATTTTTGCAATTGATCAAACATTCAACCACCCATAAATGTGATAACAGATAATTCAAAGTTTAATGTCTCCTAAATTGAACATATTGGCCTGTCCCTAAATTTCGAAATTTAAAGTAAAATCTGCTTCTTCAGTATATCTCAACTATGTGATATTTTGTTTCGTAAACTTTGCGCTATTAAATAGATATTATATAATCATATAATTTATACAAAAAACTCTGCCAAAGTCAAAACAAAGTTCCTTACTTAAAGATTTTGTGCTTTATTTCATTAATTTAGTTCAATAAGGTAGGGCTTTTGCCGTGAAAAACGTCGCGAATAAAACCTCAAGGTTATTTTAACCGCTATTCTCTTAAAATCATTGTGAAACTCATAGCTTGGTCTCCAAGAATTCTGGCATGTATGACAGATGTACGATTCCCACAGAGCCGTACCTGATTGTAAGTGGTGTTATAGATGGCGCTGATCACTGGTTTGTCATGTGACATGATGCGATCCCGAATCTCCGCCTTCATTTCCATCATGGTGAGTTGGTAGTTAAATGTGATGAGTAAGCGATTCTTCTCTAGCCCGCTTCTCTCCCTTTGCTCGTCAAAATACAGACAGCTATAGACTGTGGAAAAGAATTGATAAATTCAATGTATAGAATTGTCCTCTTTCAGTTGTGTGTTAAGTCCGAAAAATAAAATAACACTGCAGACTTAATTATAACTCGCTCAGCCGTATTCAAAATCTTTCACAGAAATTAATGAGCCAATCAGGTGAGAGTTTGACAGTGCTTGTACTGACTCATCCCTTCCTAGGCCTATTGTTATAAAAAATGGGACTCAAGTCAAACACAATAGATTAGTTACCAGTTGTTTGCTGGATCTTGTGGCTCGGAATAATGCTTTTTTAAAAACATACTGAATTTAGGGATATAGCAAGTTTATAGCTCCCTCGGAAAAGACAGAGAAGAAGAAACTTGCTATATCCCTCAAGCTAAAGCAAAAGCTGTATTCCATAGAATCTCAAGAGGAAACTCATGATGAAATATATAGTGTATTGTGACTTGCTTAGTTACAAAGCAAACTTGAAGAAACTTTCCCAACTGCCGACCTGCAGGCCCCTTAGGGGACAATCTAGCTCTACCTACCTTCAGGTCCCTTAGAGGACAATCTAACTTAACCTACCTGCAGGCCCCTTAGAGGACAATCTAACTTAACCTACCTGCAGGCCCCTTAGAAGACAATCTAGTCTACCTACCTTCAGACCCCTTAGGGGACAATCTAGCTCTTCCTACCCTCAGGCCCCTTAGCACAACAATCTAGCTCTACCTACCCTCAGGACCCTTTTGTGACAATCTAACTTTACTTACCTGCAGGCCCATTAGAAGACAATCTAGTCTACCTACCGTCAGGCCCCTTAGGGGACAATCTAGCTCTGCCTACCCTCAGGTCCCCTTGGAGACAATCTAACTTTACTTACCTGCAGGCCCCTTAGAAGACAATCTAGTTTACCTACCTTCAGACCCCTTAGTGGACAATCTAGCTCTACCTACCCTCAGGCCCCTTAGCACAACAATCTATTTCTACCTACCCTCAGGTCCCTTTGGGGACAATCTAACTGTACTTACCTGCAGGCCCCTTTGGGGACAATCTAGCTTTACCTACCCTCAGGTCCCTTTGGGGACAATCTAACTTTACTTACCTGCAGGCCCCTTAGAAGACAATCTAGCTCTACCCATCTGCAGGCCCCTTAGGGGACAATCGAGCTGTACCTACCTTCAGGCCCCTTAGGGGACAATCAAGCTCTACCTACCTGCAGGCCCCTTAGGGGACAATCTAGCTCTGCCTACCCACAGGCCCCTAAGGGAACAATCTAGCTCTGCATACCCACATGGCCGTTAGGGAACAATCTAGCTCTGCCTACCGACAGGCCCCTTAGGGAACAATCTAGCTCTACCTACTACCCACAGGCCCCTTAGGGAACAATCTAGCTCTACCTACCCACAGGCCCTTTAGGGGACAATCTAGCTCTACCTACCCTCAGGCCCCTTAGGGGACAATCTAGCTCTACCTAATCTCAGGCCCCTTAGGGAACAATCTAGCTCTGCCTACCCACATACCCCTTAGGGAACAATCTAGCTCTGTACCTACCCACAGGCCCCTTAGGGAACAATCTAGCTCTACCTACCCACAGGCCCCTTAGGGAACAATCTAGCTCTACCTACCCACAGGCCCCTTAGGGGACAATCTAGCTCTACCTACCCTCAGGCCCCTTAGAGGACAATCTAGCTCTGCCTACCCACATACCCCTTAGGGAACAATCTAGCTCTGCCTACCCTCAGGCCCCTTAGGGGACAATCTAGTTCTACCTACCCTCAGGCCCCTTAGGCGACAATCTAGCTCTGTACCTACCTTCAGACCCCTTAGAGAAGAATCTATCTCTGTACCTACCCACAGGCCCCTTAGGGGACAATCCAGCTGTACCTACCCTCAGGCCCCTTGGGGACAATCAAGCTCTACCTTCCTTAGGGCCCCTTAGGGAATAATCTAGCTATATCTGCCTTCAGGCCCCTTAGGGAACATTCCCTACCTTCATGCCCCTCAGGGAACACTACTTACCTTCAGGCCCCTTAGGGAACATTCCAGCCAATCTCTGGATACACACTTGGAGCTGAACGTCCCAGATCCTCAGAACCTTGTCCTTAGAGAAACTTATCAGCTGTGCACGGCTCTTCATGAAATGCACCTGTATTACACTGGCCATGTGACCTCTCAGCACCTGTAGCAAAAAGTCATATGTTGATGATGATGATGAGGATAAGGATGATACCGACGATGCTTGTCAATGTGTATAAATGATGATGATTGAGAAATGCGTGCTTCTGTCTATGTTTGATAATTCAATTACATCTTAGGCTTTACAGGTCAAAGTTCAAATGACTTGTAATTTAAATACTGACCCCGTTTGGTTTGGAGACGACGTAAGGATTCCACAAGCAGACGTGATGATTGACACCAGCTGTGGCTAAAACAGAAAGTCATACTCACGATTAAACTTCAAACCTGATAGTTCTATGCCATATATAAGGATCCCCGTACCACACACAAAAACTACAACTAAAGTCTTGGGAACTGTTTTTTGGTTGTACAATCATTGTTTCAACATTAGTTTTGACAGAAGGGAATGCAAACCCTAGACTAGTTTAAATCGATAGGCATAACTCTAACCAATCGTGCTACCTGGTTAACCCTTTCACCCCTATGTTACTTCAGTAGACTCTGCCATGCATTGATATATATATATATATGGATGAGTCAATTATGGTGTACAGTGGTGAAAGGGTTATTTGATAATATTTTTTTTTAAACATTTCAAATTAAATATTTCTGTAAATTTAACAATACCCTGGTATATTGAACAGAACTACTTACCTATGAGGTTAAGAGTCTGATTGTAATCAAATGCATTGATTCCCTGGGGTATGTGAAACTCCGACCTAAAAAACACAAATAAACAGGGTTATTCAATTTCAAATTCAATTCTTTTTCTGAATACATGTTCTGCATAAGTACCACGTGAAGATTTAACTCATTCATCCCTGATATTTCGTAATGAACTAATCCAACCTTTATAACAGACCCAAGACAAACAACAGGAATATGACACTAACAGGAATATGACACTAACAGGAATGTAATATTAAGAGGAATATGACACTAACAGAAATATGATATAAACAGGAATATGATATAAACAGGAATATGATATTAAGAGGAATATGACACTAACCGGAATATGACTCTTACAGGAATATGACTTTAACAATAATATGATGTTAACAGGAATATGACACTAACAGGAGTAAGACTCTTACAGGAATATGACACTAACAGGAAAAGGACTCTTACAGGAATATGACACTAACAGACCCAAGACAAACAACAGAATTATGACACAAACAGGAATGTTATATTAACAGGAATATGACACTAACAGGAATATGATATAAACANTTAACAGGAATATGACACCAACAGGAATATGACTTTTACAGGAATATGACTTTAACAAGAATATGATGTTAACAAGAATATGATGTTAACAGTAATATGACACTAACAGGAGTATGACTCTTACAGGAATATGACTATTACAGGAGTATGACTATTACAGGAGCATGACTATTACAGGAATATGACAATATTAGGAATATGACATTAACATGAATATGACAATATTAGGAATATGACATTAACATGAATATGACAATATTAGGAATATGACTTTAACAGGAATATGACATTAACAGGTATATGACATTAATAGAAATATGACACTAACAGGAATATGACTTTTACAGGAATATGACTTTAACAAGAATATGATGTTAACAGGAATATGACACCAACAGGAATATGACTTTTACAGGAATATGACTTTAACAAAAATATGATGTTAACAAGAATATGATGTTAACAGCAATATGACACTAACAGGAGTATGACTCTTACAGGAATATGACTATTACAGGAGTATGACTATTACAGGAGTATGACTATTACAGGAATATGACAATATTAGGAATATGACATTAACATGAATATGACAATATTAGGAATATGACTTTAACAGGTATATGACATTAATAGAAATATGACATTAGCAGGAATAAGACATTGACAGGAATTTTACATTTACAGTTATATAAAATTAACAGGAATATGACTTTAACAGGAATATGATGTTAACAGGAATATGACACTAAACGAAATGTGACATTAACAGGAATATGACATTAACAGGACAATGTCATTGAAAGGAATATGACACTTAAACAGGCACATGCTTGTCCAGATTTTTAATATTATAATCTGAAATCATGGAAGAATAGAGGAACTGTTTTGGAAATAGAAGATATGACATTAATATTCATTAGAATGTGAAATTAACAGGATCATGACATTAATAGGCACATGTTATTAACAGACATTGAGTATCATTATCTGATATGACTGAGAATCACAGAAATCTGAAGTAGAAACAAAGTTATAATGTATGATTAAAACATTAACATACTTGATTTTGACTAAAGAAATAAGATTTCTAGAATAGGTATAATAATTTGATGTTTTGGGGGCAATTCTCATGAAATTCTTAACAAAGTTTTTTTGTGGGGAAATATTTTATGAAAAAATATATATTTTGAGTAGAAGACTTTTCTTAGCATAACAGCTCAAAATTGTACTAGATAAATACCAGAAACTGTCAGGAAATAACACAAAGTTCTAAAAAACATGCTCAATGACATCACAGTGATCCTATGTGTAGACAACATTCAAAGGACAGACAAACAAGGCCCAGAGGGCCTGTATCACTCACCTGGACTTTTATCTCCAGCAATGGTATTTATATATGGCTGTGGGTTGGGGATCTCGACTGTTTCAAAGTTATGTTCCAGAAATTAAGTTTCAATGTGTGGGGCAAGACCCAAGGGTCAATTCTAGTATCATGACTGTGTTTTATCTCTTTCTGCCCATCAATTGTATGCATGTATATGGGTATGAGTGGGGATTTCAACTTTTTCAAAGCTATATGGTTCAGGATTAAGTCTCAATGGTAGGGCCGGAGCTCCAGACTCCATTCCTATATATATATCATAATTGTGTTTATCTCTTTATGCCAAGCCTATAACCTCAGGATGCTTCCGGTCAAATTTGGTCAAATTCCAATCAGTGGTTAAGCAATGACATTGTTGATGGACAGACGATGGTTGGATGATGGACATACAGACGATGGTTGGATGATGGACATACAGACGATGGTTGGATGATGGACATACAGACGATGGTTGGATGATGGACATACAGACGATGGTTGGATGATGGACATACAGACGATGGACGCCACAGCTATGGCAGCATTATCTCACCTTGGTCCTTCAGACCAGGTGAGCTAAAAATGGTGAGTACATGTGTGGCAATATTGCTGTGTAGTCTGTATCTTACATCTTACAAAGACTCAAACAAAGTAACATTTACATAATATAATTCATCTTCATATTACTGACTGAATATCCTCATATAACTGACTGAATATCAAGACTGACTGAATATCCTTGTATAACTGACTGAATATCCTTGTAAAACTGACTGAATATCCTTGTATAACTGACTGAATATCTTAATAACTGACTGAATATCCCTGTATAACTGACTGAATATCCTTGTATAACTGACTGAATATCCTTGTAAAACTGACTGAATATCCTTGTATAACTGACTGAATATCTTAATAACTGACTAAATATCCTTGTATAACTGACTAAATGTCCTTGTATAACTGACTGAATATCCTTGTATAACTGACTGAATATCTTAATAACTGACTGAATATCTTAATATAACTGACTGAATATCCTTGTATAACTGACTGAATATCCTTGTATAACTGACTGAATATCTTAATAACTGACTGAATATCCCTGTATAACTGACTGAATATCCTTGTATAACTGACCGAATGTCCTTGTATAACTGACTGAATATCTTCATAACTGACTGAATATCCTTGTATAACTGACTGAATGTCCTTGTTTAATTGACTGTAAATCCTTGTATAACTGACTGAATATCCTTGTATATCTGTACTGACTGAATATCCTTGTATAACTGACTGTAAATCCTTGTATAACTGACTGAATATCCTTGTATATCTGTACTGACTGAATATCCTTGTATACCTGACTTAATATCCTTGTATAACTGACTAAATATCCTTGTATAACTGACTGAATATCCTTGAATACCTGACTGAATATCCTTATATAACTGACTGAATATCCTTGTATAATTGACTGAGTATCCTTGTATACCTGACTTAATATCCTTGTATCACTGATTAAAATTTTCTTTCTACAAGATTATTCCTGAGTGCTTATATAGGCATGCTTGCAACATTGTACTTTTGACTGCATGCTAACACCTGTAAGTGTGCTTACGTGAGCATGCTCAATATAACAGCGTGTTTCACATTCCAAAAATGTCATTCAACATCACAAAACAACATATAAATGTACATTGACCACATTAATATTCATGTCTTAATCTAAAACACAACCTTCTCACCCCTCAGAAATAGCAATAGCTTCACTGATCCATTATTATGGACCATTCTATTGTTTTTAACAGGGGTAATCAGACAAAATACATCTACAGGAACACAAAAATATTTTTTAAACTATTTTACAAACAAATATGTCTGAAAAGGTGAAAACTGACCAACATTTCTAGGTAAGCATAAAAACACAGTACAATGTGATCTGTGTGTAATGTTTCATACCTTTTCAAAATTCTGTTTGAAAAAGAAAGTCTACTAATAAGATATGATATTCTAAACACACTTTCTTAAAAAAGAAATTTGTCACCATTTTTTCTCGAATTAAACAAAGAAATTGTCTGAAGGAACATGTTCTGGTATCATTGAAATAAAAAAATAACGGTGGTAAATATTCCAAAGATATTGCACAAATGGTTCTTCTTTATTAATATAAATTTATTCTAAACTTGATAAGCTATATATATATACATATGCATATAATCCAGTCACCTAATATATTGCTGATTTTAATAATACACAGATAAATATGTTTTTTATTCATTTTTTTTTCATATTATATAAAACAGAAAATTACTGATATGCTATGATATATCGAATAAATGAAACATTCGTTTCTGATTATTGTATTTATTTTACATTTTTCATATTTTTTTTACTCTAATTATTTTTCATTGTTTTCCTCTTGAGAAAGAACAAATTTTGTAACATTTTCTTCGGGATGGTAATATAGATTGTATATACAGATTCATATAGCACAACCAGTGAAAGGTTTATGTTTGACGTCTCAATGACTCATATACAGGGGCAGATCGATGCAGGGGAGAGCACCACAAGGATTTCAAATGTGGACCACATTGACAAGATTTGGTCTTGTACTTACTTCCGTAGGATTTCTTTGCTGATCTGTTGGTTTCTGAAAATTTAAGTAAAATAGAATCATTTTAAGTAACGTAGGTCTTATATATAAATATCCTGAGACTTGTATACAGCTGACACCATTATAGGGTCACTAAAACAGCTTTTCTTCAGAAAAGCACCAGAACTCCATATGGCATTACCAAAAATAAAGGGGTTATTTGACTCAATTAGTAAAGAAACTGTGCATACTTGCCAACTCTCCCTATTTAGGAGGGAGACTCCCGATTTTGGACCCTTAAAATCATTAGATCTTAGAATATAGGAACAGGTTAGCAAACTCACTGTTTGAAAATACAAAGAGTGCTAAATTTAAGGCTCCAAAATGTGGAGTCTCCCTTCTAAATTTAGTATTTTCAAACAGTGAGTTTGCTCAACTGTTCCTATATTATAAAACCTAATGATTTACCAGGGTTATTTTAATGTGTCTAAGTGTTGTATAAACACATTGTACTCATATTTTAATTTTGAGCATGCAGAATCTCTCCCATGGAAATTTCAAAAAGTTGGCAAGTTTGGTCTAATAGAACCTCCCCCTTCCTTGAGGGTGTGACAGAGAAATATCCATCCCGAGGGTGATGATTTTTGGTTGTCTAACCCGACAGCTCTGCCTCGGGTAAGACAACCAAACAAAATCATTCTGAGGGTTGGAGATTTCTAGAGCCTCGGGTTAGACAACCAAACAAAACCATTCTGAGGGTTGGAGATTTCTAGAGCCTCGGGTTAGACAACCAAACAAAATCATTCTGAGGGTTGGAGATTTCTAGAGCCTCTGGTTAGACAACCAAACAAAATCATTCTGAGGGTTGGAGATTTCTCTGTTACACCCTCGAGGTATACGTAGAGGATGATATTTTTCTCCCATCCTTTTATTTCAGTCACAGTTCCACCGACAGTAGTCTGCCATGTTTGTAAACAAAAAACACATGTGGGGTATGCATATCGTCATTCACTTTGGATGACGTCACAATTACCGATGACACATTTTAATGACGTCACAATTGAACACGTGCTAATTGGCATGAGGCTATCTCCCCCTAGGGGGTGACAAGCTGATCTTTACCGGCTAAAACGGGAGACACACCTGTGAAGGGTGGGAGAAAAACCTATCATACCCCATATGAATTTTTCCCATTTATTTATTTTAAAAACAATTTCAGTTTGTAATAAGCTTAAAAAGTAAAATTAATATCAAAATCATCTTTTTAATTCTGGAGAGTAATATTTGACGAGACTCTGCTAAAGCTGTGACAGTAAAAATAATTTAAACAATATTATTATCATGGTCACTACTTAAAAATATTTGTTTAAGAAAACAAAGTGGAACTCTTCTTTAATATTATATGCAGACAGTGGTACCTAACACCTTAAGTGACCAGTTTAATTGGTGGATAGAAACAGAAATTTGACTTACTTGCTTGGAGTCACAGAAATTTGACTTACTTGCTTGGAGTAACAGAAATTTGACTTACTTGCAAAGCTTGGAGTAACAGAAATTTGACTTACTTGCTTGGAGTAACAGAAATTTGACTTACTTGCTTAGAGTAACAGAAATTTGACTTACTTGCTTAGAGTAACCGAAATTTGACTTACTTGCTTAGAGTAACAGAAATTAGACTTACTTGCTTGGAGTAACAGAAATTAGACTTACTTGCTTGGAGTAACCGAAATTTGACTTACTTGCTTAGAGTAACAGAAATTAGACTTACTTGCATGGAGTAACAGAAATTAGACTTACTTGCTTGGAGTAACAGAAATTTGACTTACTTGCTTGGAGTAACAGAAGTGTGTTTCTCCATCCATCCAATCACCATGGAGTTAATATTTGTCGTTGAACAACTGATAAAACACTCCAGATACTGTGAATATCGCACTGGAAATAAACGACATCAAAACTTTAAAATCGGTTAAAACATTCAAGGTACAGACTAACACACTGGAAACAAATTAAGAAGCCATCATGAAAGCCGCTCCCAAAAAACATTTTTACCCCTACAGTCAAATATGACGCCATACCAACACGAGTCATTGTACTGTTTGCGACAGCACAAAACACCTACATACCAAATTAGATTGATTCTGTCAATTTTTAAATTTCGACCAATCAGGAGCTGCGGAGGCCATCTTGGATGTTAAATTGCCAAAAAATGGGGGTTTCTTGCAACTCTTTAAGTTAATTCATGCCCTACAATACTCATGCAAAAGTTTTTAATCTGACTTGTATTTTCAGGAAAATTTTAGGATAATTTAACGACAGAAGAAGAAGAAATGGTGATAACCATTAAGTCCCGAACCTACAATGTTTGGGGATTTATTTAACGATGTCACAATTTCGCAGCCACATTTTTTATTTTAACTCAGACTCCATACAGTCATCAACTTAACCATAGAAGTATCCAGAATCTTTGGTATCTTACATTGGTCTACATGAAGTGAAGCAAGCTACACAAAAAAAACACATCAACTATTAGCTGCTTCAGAGTTTAACCCTTTCACCACTGTAGACCATAGTGGACTCATCCAGATCAATGCATGGTAGAGATTATTAAAGTTACGTAGGGGTGAAAGGGTTAAAGTCGGTATACTTAATTTGCATCACAGCTTAATGACCAATAGGAAAAATATATTGAGCTATGGTAATTGTTACTGAAAAATAGAATACTGACAGAAACCCTCCTCCTCCCCCCAGTCTATTTGCGGTAACCGTGACCTTGACCTTAAAAACTTGCTCTCTATTACACATCTACATATCATAGTGTATCACTATATCAAATTTCTGAAAGATCAATTTTACGGATTCCGAGATAAACTCTGGAAACGGAAGCGTGGACGGACAAATGGACGGACCAACACCGTAATTACTATAGGGCATCCGGCCATCTCTGATGTGGGTCCTAATAAAATGGTCAGTTTACTCCGGCTATCGTCCACTCACCCTGTCTCACCCACTCCTTCTTATGAGCCTCGTGGACAGTATACTTGGCGTTCTTGTACGTCTGTTCTCCGATCACGTCCTGAAGCTGGACACTCAGACATGGTTCTGTACATCATACAACACTCATAAAATGAAATACAGCTTGACACAAATAATCATTTCTGTATATTTAATTAATAAACAAAACCTGATATAACGTACACCCTTCAGGTATTGTGTGCCCTTCACTTTTTGCAAATATTTTTTAAGCAAAATGTTTGTTTCTGTTTTTAAACATTTTTATATTCTATACCATTTATATACTCATATTTGAAACAGTATATCTTCAATAACAAAAAAAATATGTCTTCTATTTTTCTTTTCTGCAGAAATAATCCAGTTATTTGAATCAAAAGATCAAAAAATTTCAAAAATACTTTAATATTTAAATATGTATACAGTAACATTTAACTTTGTTTTAGATTAAGCCTATCATTAATTAGCCAAGCTGTTAAAAGAATTGTTCACTTAATAAAATTCAATAAAATTCTGTTTTTTTTGGTGGTTTTTTTTTCAATTCTTCTTAGAATGTCAATGGTACATTAGGACATTTATGTTTTCAATCTTTCTGTAATTATCATAAGTTCCAGCAAACAAAATTGAATGATAGCATTATTTTATTTTTTAATTCAATTTCCTGAAATTCATTTGTTTTTTGAATTTTAATAAATAAAACCATTTTTTTAACAACTGGACTATAGGTGTAAGGGTTTTGCATATTATCTCACATCACAAGTGAAATTTAGTCGTTTCCTTCAATTTGACTCCCTAGATATTTTAACTCATTCACCCCTGAAATTTCATAATGAACTATTCCAACCTTTTAGTTGGAAGAGTTCAAATGTGTTTTCAGGGGTGAATGAGTTAAAAGAACCCGTGAAAGTGACCCGGAGTTACCATGACAACGGTGGACCTATGTGTCACTTGTAATGGCGATAATGGGGAACTGCCTTCAAAAAAGCTGACCAACTAGCATAGCACGCAATTTAAGAAAGCATTGATAATTTAGCTGCATGCTCATTTTTTTTAACACATGCTGAAGCTATAATGCAGTATAAATATATTAATTACATCCAATATTGTAAAGATGTCACAAATAATATTTTTGTTGTCTTTTTCCTGTTTCTTTCTTTTTTCCTGCATTTTTTTATTTTCCTGATTTTTGATTTTGAATTTTCCTGTTTTTGTTTTTTTTAATTTTCCTTATTTATCAAATTTTTAATAAAACCTGTCAGTTAAGATCGTTTTGTAAAGCATCTGATAACAAAATAATCTCAAACAAGCACTACTTTATTCAGGAAACTCATTGAAGCTTTAATATACATATGTATGTTCTGAATGAAAAATAAAATCTTGTATTATCTTAACATTGATAATATAATATATGTATAAAACAAATATTATTTAAGTCAGTAAATCTAAATATGTAACTATGTAATATTTTCAGAGATAAGGGTTAGTTCACCTTTTTTAAATCTCTCTAAGACTTACCTGTTGAAAAACTATATTTTTCCACATCATTGCAGTACTGTTCTAATACGGGTGTTTATGATATGCAACTATATAGGGACATCATAATTAATTTATCACTCATTTTAACTTGGACTGAAATACCAGAAAGCAGTAAAGAAGAATTTATCTAAAACCAAAGGAATTTGATTCGTGGCAGGTCCAAACATTGATAAAAATTACTGTAAACAAGTACTAATTGTAATGGGGGATCATTACAGATGTCCCCTAAACTGCCCCCGCAGCGATGTTCGCAGTGCCAAAATAGACTTGTGTAAAGTTTCATTTATTTCTATCCAATAGTTTTTGAGAAATGTGTTGGAAATTTTACGGCAGAATAATAATAAGAAGAAGAAACAAAGTAAAACCAATACTGTACAATTAGCCTATTTTTGCAAAACTTTGTGCATACAAATTTCCGTGTATACATTTTTTTGTGTGTACCTATTTCTGTGTATACATTTTTTGTGTGTACTTATTTTCGTGTATACATTTTTTGTGTATACTTATTTCCTTGTATACATTTTTGTGTGTACTTATTTCCANTGTTTACATTTTTGTGTGTACTTATTTCTGTGTATACATTTTTTTGTGTGTACTTATTTCCGTGTTTACATTTTTGTGTGTACTTATTTCTGTGTATACATTTTTTTGTGTGTACTTATTTCCGTGTTTACATTTTTGTGTGTACTTATTTCTGTGTATACATTTTTTTGTGTGTACTTATTTCCGTGTTTACATTTTTGTGTGTACTTATTTCTGTGTATACATTTTTTTGTGTGTACTTATTTCCGTGTTTACATTTTTGTGTGTACTTATTTCTGTGTATACATTTTTTGTGTGTACTTATTTCTGTGTATACATTTTTTGTGTGTACTTATTTCTGTGTATACATTTTTTGTGTGTACTTATTTTCGTGTATACATTTTTTGTGTGTACTTATTTTTCGTGTATACATTTTTTGTGTGTACTTATTTTCGTGTATACATTTTTTGCGTGTTCTTATTTTCGTGTATACATTTTTTGTATGTACTTATTTTCGTGTATACATTTTTGTGTGTACTTATTTTCATGTATACATTTTTTGTATGTACTTATTTTCGTGTATGTGTACTTCATTTGTGTACTCTTTATTGATTTTGACATAAATATATATATTTATTCACTTTTCTGTAGACTTAAATTTCTTTGTTTTAATTGTGTACTCAAATAAATATTCACAAAATAAATCACTTGACAGTGATTTTTTAAAGGTGAATTTGGGGCCTTATATAGGCTCTTTCTCGAAATAGTTTTTACTGCATTTTCCAAAAACCATACAAAAATCACTAGTATTTCATAAATTTACATGTATCCTTTTTATATGTAAAATTTCCCGAAATGCACAAGGCACAGGCACCTGTCAAAGGGAGGCAAAAGATTCACTGCTTGAACATGATTGCATCTCCTGCCGAATTCACCCAAAAATTAAAAAAATGTTAAATAAAAGTGATTTTTAATATTACAACATTCCTTTTTTATTCATTTAAGATTTTTTTTTCAAAAATAATTCAATACATGTATTTTTTTTCTCTCTATGCCTGCTGGACCTGCCACTAGCTCTATATATCTGGCAACACTATACTAACTGGGCTGTAATAAGGGTTATTTATGAAGTTAAAACATTAACAACATTTCATTATCTATATGAAGGAATTTTTCTAAAAATGGATATAAAAAAAATATGGGAAGGATTGTTCTAAACACTACATTTTTATAAATTTTTCGGAAAATCATTTTTAATAATTCTTTTTATTGAATCAATTAAGTTTCAAGTGTTAATGTAAAATTTATGTACTGGTCTGCATTTGCAAACCGTTTAAATTAGCATTTCCTCATGAACAAAAAATAACAGTTAAGTTCTTCAAAGATATTTGGATTTACAAAATATACAAAAATGTACCAAAATTAATTATTTAACCCTTTTCACCACTGTAGACAGTTATGGACTTATCCAGATGAATGTATGGTAGAGTCTACTCAAGTTACCTAGGGGTGAAAGGGTTAATGAAATCTCACAATGTTAATTAACCTGTTGAATTAGGACACAATTTTTGTTTTAATTTTTTTTTCTTCTTAATTTCTAAAATTATTCCATATAATAAGTAAAACTTATTATAGATGACTGACTAAGCTGATTAACCAAACATGCTAATGACTACGTACCTATAAGTAATTACCTGAAACTGACAGGTATACACGGAAATACTTACCTTGCCAAGCTGTATGTGTGCAGAAAGTGCAAAGGTTAGGGGTCAAAGGTCAAAACGGCAACGAAAAAAGCAGATATGTTTATATATGATTAATCACATAGTCACAAGCAATTTCATTAGTTAAAACTATTATTCAATTAAAATTAATAAGATTTTAATATGAACAAACAAAGAGATATTGATTAAGGATAATTCATTGTTAATGTGCATTGATTTACATGGAAACTAGTGAAATGTATAGTCAATTAGATCATTCTAAAACAAAATCTATCCAAAAATGAATAAAAGCTTGGTTGTTTGAAACACTTTAAGGTTTGGTAAGGTGGGGTTGGTTACTTAATGACAAGATGTGCAATTCAATGTCATTATAGTGCCACTTCGTTAGACTGCCAATGAAACCTGGCATTATAACAGGTAGGATATGGCACTATATCATGGTACAACTTTAAAAGAATATTTAAGAAGAAAAGAAAATGTGTCTTTAAATATATTGATAGCAAATGATATTCAAAGTATAAAGGCATTTAAAGGAGAAAGGAAAATGGAGCTAAATAGAATGAAAAAGTTTCTGCGAGATTGTGGTGGAGAGCTTGATTAAATCTTGTAAAGTCAAGAAAGAATCAGCTTGCAGGGGACTAATTAGCCCTGCGACCCTGCAGTGAGCTAGTCACCGCAGGCCTAATGTTGCAAGTTTAATTTAACCTAGCAAACCCAACAGAGGAAATCTGCGCATATTTTCCCAAACTAGTTTTTTTTCAGTCCTGGGTGTCTTTCAAAAACCTATCGTGCAATTTTGTAAATTGATTTACTCTATTCAAGTGGCGATAGAGATAACTAATATTGTCTTGCCACATTATTTAAGCCAGCAATTCAGAAATGCTACCATTCAAGAACACCAGAACTTACAGAAAGCTTTGTCTAAATCGCATCATGTTTATTGTGTATAGTGTTCGGGATTCTTAAATCTTTGTAATAGATAGCATCTTCTGACAGTGGTGGGAAGATAAACTGAGGCGGGAGGAAGTCAAAAGATCAGTCAACCATGAAAAAAAATAAAAATAATTAGACTTGCCAACTCTCCCTATTTTCTATTTAGAATCCCAAATTGGGACCCTTACATTTAGTATTTCCAACCTGTAAATTTTCTTTGAAGTATTCCTGCATCTTTAAACTATTCCTGCATTATAAAATATATTTTTTTCTTAAAACAAATCGGGTATATACATACATTTTATTTATATTTTTAATATTGAGCATGCAGAATATTAACCATAAAAATTTCAAAAGGTTGGCAAGTATATTATATAATGAAAATATCCACTCCTATAATATTTTATGTAATTTAACGGATGTGTGCCTGAAATATGCGAGAAGATAAATTTATGTTTATGTCAAAAAAGTGAGACAACTCTGATTTCCTTTAAATATTCCAGCTAGGTTTCCATGTAAAAAGCAATGCACACATGCATATATTAAATAGTGTTAGTTTATCAACGAAACTGTGTTTATTATTAAGTATGTTGCACATATATCAACATTTCACAAGGACTGATATTTTCATGAACTAATATTTGTATTCCCCCCAGAAATTTCCTAAATTTAAAACTGATTGCTGTACTTCAATTCCAGAAATGCCTTAACCCTTTCACCCCTAAGTAACTTCAGTAGACTCTACCATACATTTATTTGGGTGAGTCCATTATGGTCTACAGTGGTGAAAGGGTTAACCAAACCAAGAAAAACAAATCATTACAAAACAAATTGTTACAGATTCAAATGATATGGAAGGACATTTTTCAGTTTTGTTTTTTCTCCTTTTTTCTTCAAATTACCTAACACATATTAGCTACAATAAACTTCATCAGACAGTATAATGTGAACTGAATCATGTCAGTTTTCTGCAGGTACTCCAGTGTCCTCCCACATAACACCCCTTGTTTGTGTTTTTTTTCAATAAAATTCATCAGTTTGGAAATATGTGATATCAAAGTTTTACTTTCTTCACAAACAATGTGCATATTAATTAAACGTGTCACAATGTTTCAAGACCGACTAGTCCCTTTGTCAAGCTATGACTGAGTGAGCGATTTGTGTTATCTGCCTGTACAACGAAGTGACAAAACTGTATATTTTTTAGGGTCACTCGACTCACGACACAATGTTTTTATTTTTATTTATTACATTGAAGTTGAGGAAAATAAACTGGTTAGGTCATGAAAATGTTGACTCCTTTTTGTGAAATGTTTCATCAGCGTGTGGCAATTCTCAATCAGCATGTGACAAGTTAACAGTCTTTTCAAAGGATTTTTTTTATCAAAAAATTGTTTCGATTTCAAGCCAATTACAAAGCTACGAGTGCACATTATTGATACACAAATAAATGATATCAATCTGAATATATTATATGTAAAAGCTAAGCAGTGGTGATCTGTGCAAATACAACTTTGTATGTCTATATATACATGTAAAGTCTAAATAGTATCAGTTGAAAAGATTATAACTTGCATCTAGATAAACTGCATAATTTAATATCTACATTATGTATATATATATACAGATGCATGAAAAATATCTACAATTAATCTATATTAATTACATACAAAGACTAGTTGAATATATACATACACAGTATTCAATTATTATTAATTTATATTGAATGTATACAAAGACTTATTAAATATTTATTATTTTTCTAGTAAATATTGATTAGATAAATTATAAGAATATACATTAACTCCTTCACCCCTGAAATTTCATAATGAATTATTCCAACCTTTAAATTAGTAAAGTTTAAATGTTTCTTCAGGGATGGATGAGTTAATGTATAATAATCATATACGGTAATCAATGTAAATTAATCAACTTCACAGTGCAGCACAAAATGTTGAAATTTCAAAAGATTGGAAGAAATTTTCATGAACAAAACATGCTAATCAACATGTGTGCTAATATGCAAATACATTTCAAGTCAAATAATGTGCTTGATGACCTAAAATCTTGAAAACATTAAATCTGATTTTTCAACAGGAGAGCATTGATAAAATAATACACAGCTTATTCTTTAAATTGCTTCAAAATAATCTATATGAAATTAATTAATCAAAGAAGCCAGATTTCGCAAAAATTTCATTTGTTACTGTTTTTTTAAAGAAATAGTTTATCATCAAGAGTTTATAGTCTTCAACTCTCAGCTGTTTGTTTAATTCTTATATTTCCTTTTTCTTTAAATTTGAAAATGGTCATTTCAGTTTTGAATGGTTTATATGTTTTATTTTAGAAATAAATCAATTATAGCTAGTATACAAATTGTTTCTATTACAATCTTTTTTTTTTTTTATTCATTTTTCCATTTTTTTCTAATTTTAATATTTACCAGTTATTTGTTATTCTTATTTAATTTTTTTCCCAAAAAATATTTCAGTAAATTTAAATCGATTCTTCTTCTTAATTTAAGATTAGATTTCTTTATTTTAATTTTATCGGATGATGACTTTAAAAGGCAGATATTGGGTTTTTTTTTTTTTGGAAAGGCAGAGAAAACATACTAAATCAACCAAGAGGATAACAGCTACTGGTATAAAAACGTCTACTTACACGTATGATGAAACGTGAAGAAGAATAGTGATAGATCGCAACAAAGCACTGCAAAAATCTACTTTCTGACATGATAAACTTTGACCTTTACTCTTGACCTTATATTACTTAGAGATAATACACAAATCCACGTGGAACCTGAACATTCTTTACTCATTCACCCCTGAAGACACATTTGAACTCTTCCAATTCAAAGGTTGGAATAGTTCATTATGAAATTTCAGAGGTAAATAAGTTAAATCTGACCTGTTGATTTGCCTAGCAATTCTTTTTTTCTTGAATGTTTTATATTGATCAATACTGACATTTAACCTCTGACCTTTACTCTTTGTTTTAAATATATTCATAAATTTGGCTTTTGATCTTTTTGCTTTCTGTAGGCCAATGTAACTTGCATCAAATGTTTTCCTCCAAACTATTCACATTCAAAATATCTTTAATATATTTTATATCTTTTTTATTCCTATTATTTATGCGTAGATTGTTAACCTAAATATTTTCAAGATAATTTTTCAAAATATTCCAAAAACCAAACCAGTGTTAAATGTTCAATTTATCCAAATAAATAGTTTATAAAATTATTGTTTGAAGTTAAAATATTTTACACATCATGAATTTAAAACTGCAATCATTGAACGCACTATGAAGATTTTTCTAACTTAATTCACCCCTGAAGACACATTTGAACTCTTCCAATTCAAAGGATGGCATAGTTCATTATGAAATTTCAGGGGTGAATGAGTTAAACTTCAAAAAAATGTTTCTATTTATACAAAAGAAAAACCAACCATTAATCTCAAAAAGGAGTAAAAACACTCCAAATGGTAATAAATTTTGTATTGATAGCCACACCTCCTTAAATTGTTAATTATACAATGACAGAAAGAGAATTAAAGAAGAAATCGTGAAATCTCAGCTACCAGAAGAAAAAAGGACCTAGCACTCTGTTTGCTTAAATACCATTGCGATAGGCTGTTATTATGAAAAAAGAGCAGTATATTATCTGTTTGATATTGTTAATAAGATTACGGTGTTAGACAGTAAATCTAGAGAATGTGTTAAGTCAACTTTACACAAAGGGAGATAATCAGAATGGTGGTGTGACACCTCTCAATTGTGTTAAGTCAACTTTGCGTAAGGGGAGATAATCAAAATTACTTTGTGACTTCTCTTGTCAATCTATCATAAGGGGAGATAATCAGAATTTTCCAATTTAAAACTTTCAAAGCCAAATATACATAAAATATTTCAATAAGGAATTTATTTTTGCTTTATAATAATCCCATTTGTTTTTAATTTGTGCATGGTGCTATGTATATATATACTGTAAAGATTCTCATAAATGAAATCATTTCTTATCTTTTAAAAGTTTCATTCAATATGCATACACAGACAAAATACATGCATTTGAAAATGCATGTATACATATTTTTCTTGGCAGAGAATAAAATTAATTTCATATTTGTTTTAAACAGTGCAATATCAGCTTTCAGGTATGAGAAATTTGAATTAGTTTATACTTCAGATACAGAAAAAAAAACACCACATCAAAGATAGGTAAGTAAAAATATGGGGAGGAAGGAATATTATGATAGAACACATCACCAACGGTAAGTAAAACTGGAGTAGGGATCCTTGACACCCCGGTTTATAGCACCAAATCAACACACACACAATGGCATTGTGACACCATAGTCACCCAAGGGAGACAACCAATTTACAACATAACTAATAGACCCATAACAATACCACAACACCTTAAATTACATACAGCAAAGGGGAGATAAATGCAAAAGGATAGATAACCTTTTTTTTTTTTTTCAGGAAAAGTACACAAACACCAATGGAGTATTGACACCTTATAAAAACACCAAGGGGAGATAATCATGAATGTAGTATGACACCTCTGATTTACCTTGCTTTTCCCCTGCTGGAGCTGGAGGTCTCTCAAATAAGGCAATATTGGCAGAATTGAAAAATATGACGTTGACAAAACCTCCGACATCTCCCCACACTAGCAAGGCTTCGTTAGGGTTGTTAGGATTCGACCTGGAAATTAAAGACGACGTTATTAACACCATATTTGGAAGTGGTGTTCTGTCTAGTCAACTTTGTTGACTATTGGTCAGTAAGGCCATTACACAGATTAATTAGTTGACAGCAGAATGTGCATGATATTTCTAAACATTTTCTTCAAGTATGGATTTGGAAAAAGATTCATGTAGCACAACCAAAAAGTGTTTTTAATCAAAATCTGACAAACAGTTTTTGAGAAGAAGTTGAAAATATGTTCATTTCCAGAAGATGCACAAAGACAGACCAAAAGCAAGAGCAATTGGTCACCTAATTGACTCGGGGGCCTGTAAGCACTTTGTACAAACCAATAGTCCAATGAGGATGAGGTAAGGGCAACCAATGATTGATCATAAATCATGTCACCTGATCCTCAACACTAATATTTACCGTACATTATGCGGGCACCTTGCTATTTAAATGGTGCCCTTCATTGATTTTTTTTTTCTAAATATAGCTTGAATACTTAATGTGAATTTTCATATTATTATCTTTTCCAAATTTTGCTCATTTCCGAAAGATGTCCAGGTGGTTTTGTTAGTTACACATCTTCCGCTATCAGAATGGTGCTGTATTGGTTCTGACAATGAGTTAAGTGATTGAAACAAGCCATTCGGATTGATATGTCCCACTTTTACCATCGATGCACGTAGGTTGGTCTAGCACTTATAGTTTTAGAGAAGCTAACTTAAATGCAAAAATTTAATGTTGATAGAGATTCTGACAAAGTCAATGGACCATGAAAGGTAAGCCGCATCCAGCATTTGATGCATGGGTTGAGACGTACTACCAGCTAAGATGCATCTATGGTCCAAGTTTGGTTGGTCTAGCACTTAAACTTTCAGTGAAACTAACTTACACACAAAAACTTAATGCTGATGGAGATGCTGACAAAGTCAACGGAGCATGTAAAGTAGGCCGCATCCAGAATGTGATACATGGGTTGAGATGTACTACCTAAGATGTATCTATGGTCCAAATTTGGTCTAGCACTTAAACTTTCCGTGAAATTAACTTAAACACAAAAACTTAACGCCGCCAGAAAACCAACACCTTAGTCCTGCACAGTCAAAAACACAGACTGTTATTTTATACATACCAATAGTCTAAAGTCAGAGGTGTGTAGGGTAGACCCTGGATCTTGTATTGACAGTTGAAGTCCAGTTTGGTACTCATGTCATAAATAGCTAGAAAACAGGGAAAAAAAGGGAAAAAAAGACTGTTGCTAGGTTACAGTAATTATGAAAGTTTTGCATTTATCAGAAGATAAAAGAATTCTTCATCAAATTCAGGTGACATTTTGCACTTTTCCAAAACAACATTTTAACAATCATCTTTGGTGATTTGCAAAGATTTTGCCAAATCAAGTTTTCCTGACACCTACTGTATTTGCTGCAAATAGCTTCCCTCCCCTTAATTATTTGGGCACTAACCAATACTGAAATGATTTAAGTACTCCTTTCCCAAACATCTTCCATGGGCAATATGAATTCTAAATGGATAAAGGCAAATTCAACGAATCTGTTCAACTAATAGAAAATTTAATTACACTTATTATTATTCAGCATTTAGTTCAAATAATGTATATATCGTGTATGCTAGTTCAATGAATAGAACAGCCGTCGCCCAGGGAGGGTCAGTGGTATCCAACGTAATAATTATGACGTCATAATAATGATGACGTCAACAATTGGTTCATAGCATTCATAGCCTATATGAATGTCAACTGCTTGGTAGGGTTATACAGTGACGATGCTGTCAGATCATAAATATATGTATACACAAAACACAATGACCTTAGCTGCTGATGGGACTTTCAACCCTGTACAACCTATGTTCTGCTAGCATAATAAGCACCCTTTTCCCTCAATTTCTTAAGCCCCCAGGGCACTAATTAAGGCAAATATGGTGACCAATTTCTTCCCGTTAGTACTTACAAATTTCTTTACTGGTGAAGGCCAAAGCCAGCTTGTTGATGTTCTGTAAAGCACAGAAATGCGTTATCCAAAGGTCACGACCTTTACAGGTGTCAGTTCCTGTTTTGAATGACCTTGACTGCTTCATATCCTGTGGCCAGATGGATATTGTACCTTCCTAAAATAAATATTATTAAAATATTTTCCGTTAAATAGAATGACAGAATATTTATGTAAGTGTAGTAATTAGATTGTGAACTGAACCTGTATCATGAGACCATCTGTGTTAAGAGACCAATTTTTTGTCTTTCCGAGGCTGGTATTTTAATAATAATTTTGACTGTATACTGAACACGTTATAACAGTAACTTACTGGATCTAGTCAGACTTTTAATTTTGAAGTGATCTATCTTTATCAATTATGGACTTTTGTTGAGGTCAATATGTTAATATATGAACCTGAGAAAGTGATACTAACCTTCATCAAGGTTAATATTGCTTTCTCAGGTCCATATATAACCACATATTCACCAAAATAAAAGTCCTTAATTGTTATATTAGATGCTAAGTAATGTTTTAATCATTAAATAAGATAAAGCATATGAACACTGTACAGAGGAAAGTGCTACATTTGGCAGTGAGCATTGTGACGTTACAATTGAGTAGTGTCATAAAATGAGTATCAACCTGCTCTGTCTAAAAATAGTAACACAGAGTCAATATCACAAATCAACAACCTCCACGTGATTATGATCTAACCAATGAGGATTTAGGAAATATATCATCATACATATACATTTCTCGCACCTCAGACAGAGATATCCCACGTCATACCCCATGCCAGATTTTTCTATCTTGTCCGATCTGTCTAGCCCCTTTACGTGACATTTCGCAGAATATTAACATTGTGATGTATTCATCCGCGCGTTAACTGCTTGAAATTGACAATCTGCATTATAAATGTTTTGTTTTGTTGTTATATGTATAGTTTTGATGTTGTTAGATATTTGGTGTTGTAGATAAAATATGATTTACACTGTGAAATACCAATACATTGTCATCTACATGTATGTGAGCACGGACTACATTTTTACGGGGAAGCATTCAAATGTAGCTTAAGTAGTGAAGAGGTCAGTATCATTTGAGGCCACAGACGGGATACTTGTAGTTTTTAGCAAAATTGATTTTTTTTTAAACTAAAAGGTTTGAGAAAAAAAATCAGTTACCAGTAACTGAGCAAGATCGGGTTGTCTCAGTCTCGGGCTACAATTCTGTAACATCCCGACCTTGGTTGGGATTTTGTTACAGAATCTTAACCGTCGACCGAGATAACCCGATCTCGCTCAGTTACAGGTAATAGATTTGATTAGTATATATATAGCAGCAGTCACTCTCTGTACAAGCTGTCGGGCCTAGCCCTTCATCAGGGATTGAACGTATACTCCAACAGTGTTAGAGGTTTTACACGACGAGAATTCTTTGACAGCCGTCGCAGTTGGCAAAATAATATCCGATAGAAAAAAGGCTGACCAGCGGTCTCTTATGTTACAGGAGTAGGATTGAATGGTCCTCACTCTTATATATATATGTCACATCCATATTTGGGCGTAGAGCCACAGTTGCTATTTATTTTGTGATGTTCCTTGTAAGTTGTAGGAATTTTGTGATAAACATTTATATACAAATGTATATATATACGTCTTCAGGAATTTTATATTTTTTTACGCAAAAAAATACATGAAGTTTTACATGGCGATAGTTGCTACAATCCAACCAGTGCACATTCATAGGAGTGTTATCCAGATAGAGTTCGTCGACTATTGACTATCACGTTTCCACACACCTTACTGACAGCTATATATTTGTTGGTGTTCTTTAGGAAAACCACCTTCTGTATGACATCTTTGTGAGGACTGAAATATAACAAAAAAAAATATTATTTATCACTTTCATTGTGTAAAATAGTGTTACTTTTCAAGGACATATGAATTAATTCAAAATATATCTCATTATGAAAAAAAAAACAAAAAAACCTATATTAAAAAAAAAACCATTTAAAACTCATAGAATACAAAGGCATAATTATATATGCAAAATAAAGTATTATAAAAAAATAAGCATAAAACATGACAAAGAAAATCTAGAAATCAAATTTAATGATCATATCAAGATCAAAACAAAAAGAGAGATCTATGTTGCCGTCAATAATTATAACATCATAAATATACATCATGTGATTACAAGGCTAGATCTGACACAAATTTTCAAAGTTTTTTATTCTTGAAATTGTAAAAAATAAAATATTTAACAACAATAATTGCATGATATCAGAAAATATTGTTCATAAAATGCTCATAAAATATTTAATGGAAAACATCACTATTTGTTAATTTTTGCGTATGTAACCATCCTCGATACTCCAGTGTGGTAACGCTCACTTTCACTTTCTGAACCCCTGGAATATGTCTAAGCAAAAACAAAGGCACCTGGCTAGCTACTTGATTAGAATCAGTTAAATAAGCTGACCAATCGCTAGGTCAATACCTGTCCTCTGAAGATCACAGAGGAGCGACATCCGACTTCAATGACATTCAATTTAACTGTTACCCTACCGTGAGATTTTGTTATGTACATCAAAGGATCAAACTAGTCTTCTTGTCTCAGCTACAAGGTAGCGCACACTGAGCCTTCAATTTTTTCCCGTAAACAATCGAGGGATAGAGAGAGCAAAAGTGAGCGTAACGCCTGGACCGGAGTATAAAGGGTGGTAGGTATTACAAACTGTTGTTTGTCATTCTTGTGACTCGTCACAATTCCAGGAATAACACTCACTTACCTTCTCTGCACCTCTGGAATACATCGTGACAAACTTTGAAGACTGTACGCACCACCTTGTGGATGATACAAGTAGAGGCGTCACGATCCACTTGTACCGCAATTATTATTATTATTATTCATGTTCAATTTGATTCACAATATTTTTTTTCGGATTTTCGATACTTGACAATCTGAATATTAGTGTACGCTGCTTCAGCCAAAACGTCTGTGAGGCGTTCAATTTCATTGGCGGATCTCTAAATCCTCAGCCAATCGGCTGCGAGGCTACAATTTTCACAAAGTATTCATAACAAAATTGCGGAGCGCGGTAAGAAAATGAAAATTTGTGATGCTCCCGGCAAGCTTCAAATCAAAAGTGTGGAAACACTTCGGGTTCCCTTGTATCGACGGCTTATATATCTCATTTTGTTGATATTTTAAAATAAAGGTGCATGGAATCGAAATAATAGAATCGTGGAACAAATATCGAGATACGTATCGAATCGTGGGTAAAGTGTATCGTGACAGCTCTAGATACAAGTATTTTGATCCTTTGATGTAAATGAAACCAATCATGTAGCAGCTTAATGGTAAAATTGACTGGCTTTGAAATCAGGTGTCGCTCCTCTGTAATCTACAACGGACAGGTATAAGCCTAGCGATTGGTCAGTACTTTTTACCTGAAATCAATCAAATATCTTCAGGTCTGCCATGACATGTATTCCAGGGGTGCAGGTAGTACGATGTATGTGTGAATGTAACGTCTGGAATTTCAAATTCAGAGTTAATTAGCATATTAAATTTTGTTAGTAGTTACGTACCTAGGCAAAGACTTCAAATCTTTCCATTGAGGCACCTGAGTAGATTTCACGCGATCGTCTTTTTCGTAAAACTCAAGCAGCATGTGTGAGGCAAATTTGTCCCAGTCGACACTCCCCTCCCGTGCAACATCAACTTTGTCAAATAATTCTCCATACTGCAAAGATTAAAGATAAAATATTTCAAAGAAAGTTTAAAGGATTGAGAGAACAAATTTTATGCACATTTCTTTTTAAGATCAATCTGACAGGAATTCAAATTGCAGAATAAATTGTCTCTAGAACATTAGACTCGAGAAAAATGAAACAGCTGAAATCATCACTAAAATACATGTCCAGTATATATATATATTCATGAAACAGTGTTCATGATCATGCTCAAGCACATATTTAGTGCTCAAACCAAGTTTAGACCATCATGGACTCATCCATATCAATGCATGGTAGAGTCTACTAAAGTTACATAGGGGTGAAATGCTTAAAACATGTGACATGATCAAAAAGATATATGTTTACATTGAAAATGGTATTCGGCTTAAAAAGGTCTTAATCCAAAATTTTCCATATTACTTATTTCATAATTGCCAGGAACAAAAAATTGGACATGAGCACAGAATCTGAGTTTGAGCATGAAAACAGTGTCATGAATACAGACCCTGGTCCTTATATACTGTAAAATCATAATTTTTTGTGAGACATTACATTTCGTTTATTTCGTGGATAACAAAAATCCTCGAAATTAAATCCCAATGAAAATATAAATTTGGTATGATATAGATAGGGGAAAATCAGAATTCATCGAAATAATGTCATTGAAACAGGTTAGTATATGAAAACCACAAAATTTTAACCCGACAAAAATTAATGATTTTACAGTATATATAAATCCATGTGTAAGTTTTCTGGATTTGCCGGTTTAATGACCGAGATAATTGATGGTGTAGTTTGTATGTTACCAGTTTAATGACTGAGATCATTGATGGTGAAGTTTGTGTATTAACGGTTTAATGACTGAGATCATTGATGGTGTAGTTTGTGTATTAACGGTTTAATGACTGAGATAATGGATGGTGTAGTTTGTGTATTAACAGTTTAATGACTGAGATAATTGAAGGTGTAGTTTGTGTATTATCGGTTTAATGACTGAGATAATTTATGGTGTAGTTTGTGTATTACCAGTTTAATGACTGAGATAATTGAAGGTGTAGTTTGTGTATTATCGGTTTAATGACTGAGATAATTGATGGTGTAGTTTGTGTATTAACTGTTTAATGACTGAGTTAATGGATGGTGTAGTTTGTGTATTACCGGTTTAATGACTGAGATAATGGATGGTGTAGTTTGTGTATTACCGGTTTAATGACTGAGATAATGGATGGTGTAGTTTGTGTATTACCGGTTTAATGACTGAGTTAACTGATGGTGTAGTTTGTGTATTAACAGTTTAATGACTGAGATAATGGATGGTGTAGTTTGTATATTACCGGTTTAATGACTGAGATAATTGATGGTGTAGTTTGTGTATTAACAGTTTAATGACTGAGATAAAATTGATGGTGTAGTTTGTATATTAACAGTTTAATGACTGAGATATAATTGATGGTGTAGTTTGTGTATTAACAGTTTAATGACTGAGATATAATTGATGGTGTAGTTTGTGTATTAACAGTTTAATGACTGAGATATAATTGATGGTGTAGTTTGTGTATTAACAGTTTAATGACTGAGATATAATTGATGGTGTAGTTTGTGTATTAACAGTTTAATGACTGAGATATAATTGATGGTGTAGTTTGTGTATTAACAGTTTAATGACTGAGATATAATTGATGGTGTAGTTTGTGTATTAACAGTTTAATGACTGAGATATAATTGATGGTGTAGTTTGTGTATTAACAGTTTAATGACTGAGATATAATTGATGGTGTAGTTTGTGTATTAACAGTTTAATGACTGAGATAATTGATGGTGTAGTTTGTGTATTAACAGTTTAATGACTGAGATAATGGATGGTGTAGTTTGTATATTACCGGTTTAATGACTGAGATAATTGATGGTGTGGTTTGTGTATTACCAGTTAAATGACTGAGATAATTGATGGTGTAGTTTGTGTATTAACAGTTTAATGACTGAGATAATGGATGGTGTAGTTTGTGTATTACCGGTTTAATGACTGAGATAATTGAAGGTGTAGTTTGTGTATTATCGGTTTAATGACTTAGATAATTGATGGTGTAGTTTGTATATTTTTACAGTATATATAAATCCATGTGTAAGTTTTCTGGATTTGCCGGTTTAATTACTGAGTTAATTGATGGTGTAGTTTGTATATTAACAGTTTAATGACTGAGATAATGGATGGGGGAGGTTTTATATTACCGGTTTAATGACTGAGATAATTGAAGGTGTAGTTTGTGTATTATCTGTTTAATGACTGAGATAATTGATGGTGTGTTTTGTGTATTACCAGTTAAATGACTGAGATAATTGATAGTGTAGTTTGTGTATTAACAGTTTAATGACTGAGATATAATTGGTGGTGTAGTTTGTATATTAACAGTTTAATGACTGAGATATAATTGGTGGTGTAGTTTGTATATTAACAGTTTAATGACTGAGATATAATTGGTGGTGTAGTTTGTATATTAACAGTTTAATGACTGAGATAATTGATGGTGTAGTTTGTATATTACCGGTTTAATGACAGAGATAATTGAAGGTGTAGTTTGTGTATTATCGGTTTAATGACTGAGATAATTGATGGTGTAGTTTGTATATTTTTACAGTATATATAAATCCATGTGTAAGTTTTCTGGATTTGCCGGTTTAATTACTGAGTTAATTGATGGTGTAGTTTGTATATTACCGGTTTAATGACTGAGATAATGGATGGTGTAGTTTGTATATTAACAGTTTAATGACTGAGTTAATTGATGGTGAACTTTGTATGTTACCGGTTTAATGACTGAGATATAATTGATGGTGTAGTTTGTGTATTACCGGTTTAATGACTGAGTTAATTGATGGTGTAATTTGTGTATTACCGGTTTAATGGCCGAGATATAATTGATGGTGTAGTTTGTGTATTACCTGTTTAATGACTGAGATAATGGATGGTGTTGTTTGTATATTACTGGTTTAATGACTGAGATAATGGATGGTGAACTTTGTATATTACCGGTTTAATGACTGAGATAATGGATGGTGTAGTTTGTATATTACCAGTTTAATGACTGAGGTAATTGATGGTGAACTTTGTATGTTACCGGTTTAATTACTGACATAATGGATGGTGTAGTTTGTATATTTTACAGTATATATGAATCCAAGTTCAAGTTTTCTGGATTTGCTGGTTTAATTACTGAGTTAATTGATGGTGTAGTTTGTATATTTCCAGTTTAATGACTGAGTTAATTGATGGTGTAGTTTGTATATTAACAGTTTAATTACTGAGTTAATTGATGGAGTAGTTTGTATATTAACAGTTTAATGACTGAGATAATTGATGGTGTAGTTTGTGTATTACCAGTTTAATGACTGAGATATAATTGATGGTGTAGTTTGTGTATTACTGGTTTAATGAATGAGATAATTGATGGTGTAGTTTGTGTATTACCGGTTTAATGACTGAGATAATTGATGGTGTAGTTTGTGTATTAACAGTTTAATGACTGAGATAATTGATGGTGTAGTTTGTATATTTTACAGTATATATGAATCCATGTTCAAGTTTTCTGGATTTGCTGGTTTAATTACTGAGTTAATTGATGGTGTAGTTTGTGTATTAACAGTTTAATGACTGAGATAATTGAAGGTGTAGTTTGTGTATTACCTCTTCCCTCGTTCCTTTCTCCAGAAGAATGGATAGTGCCTCACAGAACTGGTCCCTGTACAGAGCAAGCTTATTGTCGTAACCGTCCCCCTCCGTCTATAAATAGAGGTCACATGTTCAGTTAAGGGTCACATGACTTACAATGCTTAAACACAGGAAAAAAAGTATTGCTTAACAGTTTCATATAGCACAACTAGTGAAAGGTTTACGTGTGATGACACTCAGTGATAACACAGGAAACTCTCAAACAGTCAAACTGTTTCATAAGGAATCTCCCTCCAAAACAGGCAGAGTTAACTCATTCACCCCTGAAAATTTCATAATGAACTATTCCAACCTTTGAATTGGAAGAGTTCAAATGTGTCTTCAGGGGTGAATGAGTTAATTGGCATATTACTCCTCCACAAGGTGGTGAGTACATCTATATACTGAGCCTTCCATTTTGTCATGACATACACAAGGGGTGAAGAGAACCTATTGAGAATGCACACACCCCACTATAGGGTAAAGACAAATGGAACATGCGGAATCAGAATGAATGAAGAGTATGAAGAATGTGCCGGTAAATTCCCACTTTCAATTTCACCATTCACATTTGATTTCTAGGCTTTTTAACATGTTGTTTACTTACATTCCCTTGAAAGATAAATTCCTGCTTTTTACGGAAGGTGAAAAAAGGTGAATGTTTCACCAAATCTGTGAAAAATTCCTGGTATACAGCAGTTTTGTTTAAATCCTTTGAGAATGGAGCGAGGAAGTAAATGTGTAGAAAATGCATCATGTGAATCCAAATTCGATATTAAACTCATATTATCAATGTTTTTTAAACAAACTAGAAAATGTCTGTAAAACATAAATGCCCCTGCTCATGGATGGAAAGGGACGCGACGGACATGGGCAACACTATATACCCCACCCCACCCCCATTTTATGGCGGGGCATAAAAACATGCTGCTATGCAATTATTTTCATGTACATCAAAGAATTAACCTAGTAAGAACGTCCCCACCTTTTGAAATTTTTGACATTTCCATAGTCCTGTAATAAGCCCACCCCATAGTTTCAGTCAAAATGTGTGAGTTGACCCCCTGGGCTTATTCCGTCTTTTCGTATTGCAGAGTTATCTTCTCTTGTGAGCATGTATTGATTGTTACGTCATTTGTTTGTGAGAGTAATGTCATAAATTTTTGAGAAAACGACGTAATTTTCTCACACAAACCAATGACGTAACAATCAATACCTGCTCACAAGAGAAGATAACTCTGCAATACGAAAAGACGGAATTGAAGGTCAGTTATGATGGCAATCTTACCATAAACGCTCTCTGTAGCTTGTTCAGGTCCTTCATGGTCAGTCTGTTCTCCAGCTTGTCCATCAGAGGTTTTCTGACAAAAAAACATTCATCAGTATTTATATTTAAACCATTTGTAAATAATTCTGGTTGATAAAGCCATCCTTAAGAAATTGTCTGTTTGCAGTTTTCTGATCAACTCACAAAAATTGGCACCTGCTCAAAATATTTTTGATACTTTTAATTTATCTTAATTAAAATAAAAATTAGATGATAATTAAATGGTAACTGCAAGGATCAATCTAGGTTTTAGGGGAAAATTACCCTTTTTCAGATTTGGGGGAAATTAAAATCTTGATACAAGGCTTTAGTGTCATGAAGGTAAAAGATAAATGTTTTGTCCGACATACATGTGTGCAGTATATTTCATTTTTTAAACAATTTTAAGCTTAATTTTTTTGTTTAAATAATGTGGAGAAAATGTATATATGCAGTAATATGCATTTTAACTGTTGAACTTTAAAGAAAACATATATATAGGGGAAATATTTTGAAGAAAAACAGCTATTTTCTTGTTGAAATAGGGGAATTTTGAAGCACACAGGGGGAATTTCAAAGAACAGGGGAATTTTCTTCTGTAGGAGAAACTACCCATAAACGGAAGTGAATCAAGTCTAAATTGATCCCTGTAACTAGATACGCCAAATCAAATATCAATCAGATAGAGAAAATACAACACAGAACAGCATGATATCTACACAACATCTACCACAATGTCAAAGACATGATGGGTATACATGCTAGTCTGGCCCTTACTAATTAAAACATGATTCATGAAGACTCAGTGGCGTAGCATACATGCATATGCTTGTATGCTCGAGCATACACGGACATTTTCAAGATTTTTTTTTATCATATTTTTTTTTATCATATATTTTTGTTAAATTCTTTTTTTTTTTATGATTAATATGGATCGCTCGTATCATTCATAAAAAAGAAAAGAAATGAAAATAATTTTCTTGACAATTTTAGTCTGATAAAGTAGTGTTGTTATGTTATGCCTATACACATTGGCAAATCTCGAAAGTTTATAAATGTGAATAAAACACTACTTATAGTGAAGTACAAAATTGAATATTATTCTTATACAAATTCAGGATTTACTTGTTAATAATCAGACTAAAATGAGTTCTTAGAAAACAGGAGATTGCTTCTAGAGCCTATAGTAGAATTTGTTTTTCCAGCTAATTGGGCCCATACCCTCCCACTAATCTGGCGCTGCATGTGCACCTCGTACGCACGACCCTCTGTAGTGTAAGCATACACTCGGAAAAAAGATTTGCTACGCCACTGAGACTGCAAACTAAACTGATACTATTCTGCAATTAAGAGTATACACCATTGTGTTATAATAGTCTCCAGCACCATCATTACCATGGACACGACACGCACACCCCTTACACATACTGACATATATAGTGATGATACAGACACATTTCTGCTAACAAACAATACATACAAATACTCTTTATCCCACACACCATCACACAATCAACCTCCTACCCGTATTTCTGTATTGTACTGCAATATGATACTAATATGCCAGTGTGTTGCCAATATACCAGTTTTCCAATAAATTCTGACATTCCTAACACATGTATGATGTGTAGGATGGTAGGGTGGTGTAGTGGATATAGTGCACTGGCCTTTCATCAAGTTGGCGCGGGTTCAATTCCCCCGATCTGACATATTGGAAAGTTATAGGGTCACAGTATTTTTCAGTCCAGGTAACTCTGGTTTTTTCTTAATCCTAAATGATTACCCTGTGCGCTCTAACATCCGGGCCAACAAGAATGATTAATAAAAGCTAAAATAAGTTATTTCATAACTGTTGTAAAATAACTAAAGTTTATAAGGACGGAGACTTACGGGTATACAGATAACCATGCAAGCACAAAGTGAGTAAATGTGCATGTGTGATGGTAAAATTCTATTTTCGGTTTGTGCATGTATTGCATTTGCCTGCATTATAGTCTGTTTCCTTGTTCATGCAGGCTGTGTAAAGAGTAAAATATGTTTGCATTAATGTCACAGGTTTTTCAATGTCTCCTACAAAATAATCTGAATTTCAACAACAGTCGAGTGTTAAATTGTTATCATTAACTTGACCCCGTCCTATATTTGAAACACACACATAAAACAAATTAAGTTTACCATAAACCATGTAACAATCGCAACATGTATGTAGCTGTACTCTGACGACGGCCTGTACAGACGGTCAAAACAAGTCAGCACAGGCATAAATACAATTATGGAAACCGGAGTTCAGGACTTGCTTCTCACCTTCAGTTATTTGCTAAGTTTACCATAAATTGTCAATTTTTATTCCTAATGTATTAAGATATACAATACAAATCAGGGTAAGACACATTTTTTGCTCGGTAGTCCATAGGCCTACACACTGTTGTTGAATAGATTTATCTGCCAGTCCTACATCAAATTGTAACTAGTCCAAAATTTCCCTAAGGAAACATCTACACCAAGAAACACAAAAAGTAATTGACTGTATATATATATTGGGACTTTAAATAAATAATTTAATGTCGTAATTTAATGCCGTAAAGACATGGTGAAGTTTTAGAAAAATATGCAATATATATCTGTGTTTTAAGCAATTTTGCAAAACAAATATTCTGATTTTATACTCATTCTATCAAATGATATTGTGATAACATATATAATATATCAAGTCCAGTTAGGTGATTCATTAGTCCTTGCTGAAATCTACTACCTGGTAGTCTTAGACTAGAGGACAAGTGTTAGTGTAAATGCCTGTTCCAAAATAAAAATCTGATTAATTTCTTCTCTTTATACACTTTAATTTGAATTTTAATCCTGTTTTCCATTACCTTTCACCCAGTAAAAGAATAACAATTATTGTCCTTGCAATTTATTTCCATGTTCCGAAAAAAAATCATCAGATTTAAAAATTAAAAAAAATACCACATTAAACACAAGTTCTGTACCCCAAAACCAATTACACCTGTCCCAAAATGGCAAATACCTTAAAACAAATGTACACACACCGTATGACACTTCACACATATGACATTTGTGTACGTCATGTCTTACCCTTTCAAAGATGTAGTTGTACTTTCCAGTGGTTGACGTTTGGGCCTAAAGGCTCCAACATAGGAAGTGGAACCCTTGCTGGAAATCCTAGAGTTTCATTCTTATTGATTATTTAGAGTTCATTTAAAAACTTAATATAACCCTTTCACCCCTGATAAGCTCTTACAGATTCTTCCATTCTTTGATCTGGACAAGTCCAGAATTGGTATCTAAGGGTGAAAGGGTTAAATACTGTAGAGAAATCAAAACTAATTTGACATATATATATATACCTGTTTGTAATTGACCCAATTTACATATGAATCAATCAACAAATCATTCCAATCAAGGAATTTGCTGACAGTAATTTTGCTATAATGAACATAAAAAAGATATGATTGTCATTTTAGAGTTTGTTGTAATCTCCCAAATTCTATGAAAATCATTGAACAACTTTAAAACAGGCTCCCGTAGCTGTGGAAAAGAAGACTTGCTGATACATCTATTGGAATGTTACAACATTTATATGTTACCCAGAGATTTAGAAACCAGTATGTCTGACTCAAATTCTTCATTGTTGAAGCAGCAGGGTGGGGTGTGGGGTCAAATAAAGGGTGGGGAAACCGAACCAGATTTTTAAATAACAAATTCTATACATGCATCTGTCATTGTTTAGACAGCTTAAAGGGGTTCCAAGTGGCGATCTAAACCTCTGATAAAAATATGGCAGCAGATTTTTTTCTGTGCTCATTTGGTCATGTACAGGGGATACACTAAGTTCAAATTTACAAGAGACATGTTTGAATGGTGAGTTCATGCCAATCAATTGTAGAGAAAGGGAAACAGGATATATCTAAATATCTAAGAAAGAAAAAAAATCAAACTTTTAAACTTGGTTTGAATCAAGGTGGGGTATCGATAAACAGCTCTTCTGGAGTAGGTTGATGTCATACGATAAACTCTTTTACTTAATATTATCTTATCTATCATAGGTGTTAGCCTCTGAAACCTCCAATGAGGGAGATCTCCCTGACATTCCATATTCCCAACAAGGGAGAATGTGAGTGAAATGCAGCTGAAACTGATTTGCCCAATTTATCTTTCCCTTTTTATGTTTCAAAATCAATCCAAAAAGCATTCATTTTATTCAGGCAATGCAGAATGTTATGATCATAACACACAGTTACACCCTACAGTAACTAATTCATTTGACCACAGGATGTAGATTTTGAGTTTGTGCCAGTTTGGATTTGAATCAGGGAGATTTTTAGACAAAATGAGGAAGTCTCCCTCCTAATGAGGAAGGGTTGACAGCTATGATCCATTGATCAAAACGAGCTCCTGCACATGTGATCAGCTGGTTATCTTTGGACAAAACCTAAAAGTTTGAAGGCATTACTTTACAAATGCATGGAATCTTGAGTCCTTAACTTCGGAACAAGTTCAGTACTGTATTGTAAGAGGTTTAACATGGTGATATATTTTTGACAGGCGCCGATAGAAAAAGGCCGACCAGCGGCCTCTTATATTATAGGAGTATACTGTACTGTAAATATAATTAAAACATACTTTTCCTGCTTGTCCGGGGACTTGGACTTAAAATGGTCTGGAGACTTGCTATCATATTTCCCCGTTCCTGACGTCACAGTTGGTGTAGTAGCCACTGTCGACATTTTGGTTGAGTGGTCTGTTCACAAAGTCATCAGAATTTCCCGATGTCAAAATAATGACAAGGATCCCGATTCAAACCAACAGGTGCCCGTTTTCCTTCCTTCGACACAAAGTTTTTGTTTTTAAACTTAAAGAAATGCACAACATTCAGAATCATCCAAAGTTAATAGCATGTTCGCCTGTTGTCGCATGCCACTCTACATATTGAGGCTAAACATGCATGCACTGCCGAACGAAAACAAACCTCCCAGAACAGGAAATCGGCCATTTGTAAATTGTGAGTTGCCAGGCAGAGGGTTGATACAAATTACGGATTTATAAATCAAGCGAAACACGTTGTTATCTGTGATGTTAAAAGAAGGCCTAGTCTTTGAGGCAGTGAATACAATATGTCACAATAAATTTCGTTTACCAGACAACGATAATAACATTTAAAACATAAGTGTGGAAATGGATTGAGCCCGGTCGTTACAGCGATATTTACTAATGGGAGATAACTCTTGTACATTTTGAAATACTTCGATTAATCGCAAAGTGTTAGTCAGCTAATCAGTTATCTAATTCTTTTTATCAATTAAAAAAACTCATTAAAAATCATAAAGTTAGAATATTTAATAACCTGTAATCTTAATAATTGGACATGTAACTTTAAAATATGTGCAAACTAAACCAAGAGGTGACGCATCTTTTTTTTATTCTGACAATATAACTTTGTTCGTCTATATAAAATATTTACAACCCCTTGACAGTCAGTTCATAGTATAAAAATATATACTTGTTTTTGTAATTTTGTATTTCATGGCTCCATTTTTCTTCAACGCATTTTTTGCGGTTCATTTTCCTGTTGTTCTGTTTTTGAAACTGTCTGTGCGTTCATCACTACGTTCGGTGGGAGTTTGTTCCACATGTCATCAGTTCTCTGAGTGAACGAATATTTTCTTATATTTCACCGACACTTTTTTATACACTTCAAAATTATGGCCTCTTTGTGTTTGAACTTTCTTTAATTGTAAGTTTATACAACTGAAATTTCTTTGTCAAATTTTCAAGAAATAATTTTATTAGCCTGATATACTTGTTTTGTTGCTAGACGTTGGGACATTTTCTATTGCTATAACACGTTTTTTATATGCATACGGTTTGGTTTAGTTTAGTATTGTTTAACGTCCTTTCAACAGCTATGGTCATTTAAGGACGGCCTCCCCTGTGTGCAAAATGCATGCGTGTTTAATGTATGTATGTGTGTGTTTTGGGAGGCTGCGATATGTTCGTGTTTGTCTCCTTGTGATAGCGCGGAAGTGATGCCGACTTTATAGGGCTACCTCACTGAAACATACTGCCGAAGACACCCAGCAGGACACCCAGCCCGGTCACATTCTACTGACAACGGGCGAACCAGTCGTTCCACTCATAAATTGCTGAGCGTTAAGCAGGAGTAGAAACTACCATTTTTTACAGACTCTGGAATGTCTCGGCCAGGGAACAGAACATATAGGTCTAACCATATAATCATGTACACAACAGTTTAAAATTATGGATGCTCATGTATTCCTTTGGTTTCCGCAATACGGCTAATGTAATGGTGATAATTGTTCCTCTAGATCTAGGATGAAGTTGAATCTATCAATGTCGGTGTTTTCTACACAATCCTTTTATATTTGTCCCCGTGGAAGTGTATAGTTGCCAGGTTTCTAACTATTTTTAAGATTCAAAACGGGGACCTGCCACTGAATTTGTTACAGATGGCCTATGTAAATTAGACGTGCTAAGTACACCATTATTGGAGGTGGGTTTTTTTTATCTTTAAAATACAACCAGTAAATGAGTTTAAATGTTCCATACAGTAAATATTTTAGTACAGCAAAATAGCATGCAAAATTACAAGTTGTTCACCTTGTATACTGACCAAATTATATAGGAGTTGAACATTGAACATGTTAGTGATAAGTGTATCACCGTTTGGACATCTTGGCCCACCAGGGGTTTGAGAAGGCTACGTGACAGTGTGATAAGATTCCTACAAATCACCGTCAGCAGGTCGGGAATCGGAAAGATTAAACCAGCTACTACCCACTNGGGGGGGGGGGGGGGGGGGATAAATATGCAGTACCCATTGTAACACATGGAATCTTATACACTTAAATTGTATTTTCTATCCTGTCTAATTGGGTTTTCATATAACGCATCACTTAGCAATAACACCCCAGTCCCTTTTCCGGACTTCGAGCAAGAGTGGTTATATAATGGGTTAAACAGTAATATACTGTAACAGCCAGTGAATATCAGATGGGAAAATGCAAGCTAGCTTTTCCAGCGACGAGAGATATACCGGCGGAAACACGCTCTAGTTCAGCAACGTCGAATGTAATGTGGTCAGTGACCGGATGGGTGACCGGCCGCACGTGCACGCTACAATACATGTACAATTTACATCTTCAAAGGATGACGGTAGGGAATGGTACATCAAAAGAAGCGTCGAGTGTCGCTCCTCTGTAATAGCTAGTGGCGTGCCTTCAATTTTGACATGTTCCAGGGACGCAAAGAGCGAAAATGAGCGTAACTCCTGGAGTATCGAGGATGCCAATTGGAAACCTTATTGTCGACAACCTCACTCTTCTTTTGTTATTTTGGGGATAACATTGTGTTATCCAACATGAGAAATATAAAAAGCATCCCAAAGAACGCTCGAATTACGCTATAGTATAAAAAGATTGTCTAAACTATATATAAAATAAAATATTTTATAAAAACCCTTTAGCTTTTTTTAATTATCTATTTATGCTTTTGAAGAGGATTAGTTATTACCTTGATAATGCCAGATAAATTAATAAATATTTTAAATCGTAATAATTTGTTTGCTTAGCAATAGGGTATATAATTATGTTCAAAAATATAAAATTGTGTGTGTAATATAATGAAATAGGAAGGTAAATAACTCTTGACATATATATAAATTATGATTGAATTTCTATGTAAATGTATGGGCTAGGGGAGGTAACTCTTATATTTTTATTCGGAAGAGAACGTTGGCCTATTTCAAAATGGAGAGTTCTTTCCATATCTCAATGAACAATTAGTTTTACCGATTTTTTTATTCCTATAAAAATGAAAAACTCATTACAAAATAGATTATCCTTAATGTTACGGATAAAACGCTATTCGATTACTTTCATCAACTTCTCATACATAAAACCATTTGTAACAGAGATAGGTCCCAACAGAACCGATTGAGTCGCTACACAACATGTAAATGCCACAATAACGTCCTAACGTTTAGGTTATTAAAAAAGAAATTTAGATAATTTGATATGCTTAGCTACTGTGCTAGTTAAGTGGTTGTTATATGACTTAAAAGTAGAATAAAGAGATATGGCGGGTTGCTATGCCTATTTCCCCAAAGCTATGTTACGCTAGTGCGCGCATCCAACCGTGCCTTCAAAGCGTAGCTGTACTATAAAAGTATACAGGGATTTGTTGACATGCTTCGATAGAAGTATGTCGCGCTAAATAGTAAAGAAAAAAATACTAACAAAACTTATAAATCAATAGGTATGTTATTAAAATGTAAACAAAATCTTCCATCGATTTAAAAAAAATAAAAAATTGCCTTATTAAGGAAAATAATCACATGCCTAAATATTTAAAAAAAAAAAAAAAA